AAAGCTTACCATACCTACGTACCTACATAGACCGCTCAACAATTGCAAACCGTGACGATGACAGGAATGATAGATGAAAGACGGGTTCTCCGAAGAGCGAAACATGCCGTGCATGGCATACATTCATTTACTCCCTGCCAAGACATTTAAGGAGTTGATTCTTTTCTTGCATCAGGTAATGATATATGTTGAGCTCGTCACATGTTTTTTGTATTCTTGATGGCTTAAACTTATGTTGTACTTTGTGCCTTGTGCTCCGTAGATGGGTTGTAAATATGCAAGGTGATAATGCTGCTGGACTATTCTGGTTGATCTGATACCATGAACCCCTAGTGAAATCCGTTTAATTGGTTTTCAACCCGCGACGCGGATAGTTCTCGAGGATATTATCCAAAGTTTGAGGGATGAGTGGATGTGATTGTTTTCATAACCATTAATTAGCATTACAGTAGTTGTGAAGATAATCGTTGTAATCATATCGGGAGTTGATCTTAATGGATCTAAGACTTCCGGAGCTCAGTTCCCCTGTCTGCTTATGTTTATGCTTATGCCTATGCTTGTGGGCAGTGAGGTTGACCGTTTTCTTGACCATTCGTGCGCAGTAGATTTTTTGGTGAAAGATCGTCGTTTTTAATCCATTATTTTCCAGTCGGACTTCAAGGCGACTACCGTGAGAGTGCCGTGCAGGTGAGTATGTCCGAGCGGGAGCTCAGTATCCATAATTGCCCATTGAATAAAAATAAAGTCGTAGGTGATCATGGAGATCCTCTCCACATCATTCTCATAATTCGGCCTGTCATGAATAATCAACATGCTCCAAACAGGAGCCAGTCTGGCATATCAAGCCGTGGTGGTTTTTGCTTTCAAAAACATGGAAGAATCGTGATTGAAATTGAGCTCGGTCCTTCATACTAATATCTTAGCCGCTGTCACAAATGAAGCTATTGAAGAGTTTGTCAATGATGTATATTAAAAATGCGGGATTGATCAATAGAGGGAAGTATTCGCACGTGTTTGATCCGCACTCGATCTCCTCAAGTTCCCTAAAGTCCGAAACAAGGTCTTGTTGGGCGAAGACAAGGCAAAGACGTACAGATCACACTGTTGTGTAACGGCTCGGGCAATTATGAATCGGCATCAAAAAATCGAAACGTTGCGTTGAAGATATTTGATAGAAAGCTAAGCCAGTCGGAAGTAAGTAGTTTGACGGAATGTAACCCATACAGTTGCCATCCCGATAAATCAACCAACCATTATTCAACATTTTGTTGATACCTCTCAACCCCGGAGCCGTGCCGTTACTAGAAAAAGGTTGGCGTTTGAATGTATCCCTCCAAGTTAACCAAACCGAAATAATCTTGGGAACGTGCGCAGGTCTAAAATTGGCTGCATTGAGGCTGCATGGAACGGCGATAGCTAGGATAGGGAACCCTAGAAGATGTCTCACAAACCCTGAAGAAGCTCCGGGTAGAAGGGTTGTCCGCTACTTTGAAGAGAATAATACGGAAATCTAGCCAGAGGTGATTGTATTCAAATGCTTCGGGCATGACGGAGTTGGTTGAAACTTGAGTGTTGGACTTTCTTTTCTTGATTAGATTGATGATGACAATAAGATATCTTTGAACGAATTTGACCGCTCTCTGATCATCAATCACGTCAAGGTCGAAATGAAAGGATAGCTGGTGGGTACAGGGTTACAAAATATCATGAAAAGTTATAACGAATCAAGGAATAAACATGGCGGCAACGCAACCACATGCCATTACTGCATACTTCCGCCCAGATTGCATGCAACCGGATCGGGGTAAAAGAAGAGTTCTGATAGATTTATCCCAAGTCGATGGATTTATTGGCAATTGAGTGTTGCAGTAACCCACACCTGTGACATGATTTGTTGGAAATGGTGAAGATGGCTTTTTGGGCAAATGTCCTTCCGACCTCTAGATTATCGTGAGGCTGTCAATGATACCACGAAAAGACGAGCCGTGAATGAAGCAAATGAAGCAGCCAAGGATATGGCTCAATTCACCTGCTACAATATCAATGTACATGTACATGTATACGCAGTATGTGTGTAGCATACATGATGTAGGGTCTGTGTGCGGTGCATGCCATGGTTGAAAGCTGTTGTAGCTGAATGAGAGGTTCACCAGGTTGAGTGAGAGAAGGTAAGATCTTGTAAAATATTTTCTGGTATTGTAGGTAGGTACTGTAACCTTATTCTACACAACATGAGAGCAGCACAACTTCATCCTTTCTCGTTTCCAGGTATTAGGAAAAGTCGACCCCATTTCTCGAAGCTGTCTCAGTTTGGAGAAATAACCAGAACTATTTTCATATATTGGGTAGATTAGGTAATTCTTACATACTGTAGAACTTACATTTTGCCCTATGAATTTCAAGGGCATCGTAGATATCAAAAGGCGCGCAGCTCCCCAAGAGTCCAAGACAGACTTGAGTAGGCCGGCACCTCGGTAGTCCATCCATTCTATTTTCAGGGGAGTACCGGATATTACCCCAAAATGGAAACAGAAATGGGGGTAAATTAAATTAATACTACCAATTAGGAGCCCCTGTGAATAGAATTCCCTTCGATCATCCCTTCAACTATTTGCCAAAGGGGAAAGAATGGAATGGATGGAAGCACATGTGATATCAATATCACACGACTTGGCCTATAGGAATACTTTGCCTTGAATTTACTCCTTGACCATTCCTTGAACAAGCATGAAAGAATGGTAACGTGTAGGTATGAGCGAGCTGAAGAGGAACGGGTGAGGACTTTTTCACATCACATGAAGAAGGACAGACATCAGCATTATGCCTTTAGCAGGATGCGATTTTGAGAATTCGCTGTTCATGTCTAGCCAGGTACTTTGTTCCACTAGCCTATGATGATCCATCTAATTCATCCTGCTTCCCTGGATACCCCCATTAATGCCCAAAGTGACTAGAGTGGTGGAGTAACGTCTTTTAACATGGCCGATTCTTGAATTCCATCCAATTTTGCCCATCTCAACTCGAATCTTCTCCCAAATGACAGAACTCAAAATCTTGATCCTTTTCAAGTTTCACTTCATCAAGGAAAACCCTTTCAATTATCTCTCCGACAGCCCTTCATCCTTCGTTCTCTGTCTGGCAATACTCCGTATCTACCTAGTATTCTTTTCATTGGCAAACCCCTTCATTGACTCCTTGCAAAGTTCATTACCCATCAATTGGTTCAAGGCAAACCCGAAGATCCTACCCTGTAGTAAGGTTATGTACAATGTACCAATGTACATAACAATCTAATGGGCACAGCTCTTCAATTGGCGTGTGCGGCCGTTTCGTCCCTCCCTCTTTTGGGCGCACACTCTGCTTCCACTCCACTAAAACTCACGAGTAGCCCCTTGCATATTGGATTAACGTGCATCTCTAAACGAAAGAAGCAAAGAATCCCCAGAACCATACGGAGGGAGGGCAAAAGGGTCGACAGGGTAAGCAAAAGCTCAGAGATCCTTGCTGGTGGCCCAGAACTCATCGATTAAAACCTTTATTCGGTACTTTCATACCTCCTAATATTTTACTGTTACTCCGCAGCTCATAGAAAGAGTCAACATAATTGGAAGGAGAGAAGCCAACAAAGTAGCCTTGATCAAGTTTGGTAGGGGAATGTGTAATGTCCTTTGGAAAAGACCAACATAAGTCTTACCAAAGTCTAAAGTCTAAAGTCTAAAGTCATACGAATACCCCAATTATCTTTCTGGGTTGTTACTAGAGAATCAACGGAAAATCAATTGTGAATCCTGGTCAAAATCTGTTATAATAATAATAACTGGGGAAGATATGACACCCTAGCCGAAAGTAAAGTTCGGAAGAGAGAAGAGAACAAGAGAGAAGAAGAAAATAAGTCCAAAGGTCGAAGAGTGGTTATCACATTACATCAGTGTCTACCAACCTCTACTTACTTCTTTCCCTCAAACATTCATCATCAGAGAGTTAAAAAAAGGAACAAATTCCAAAACCAAGTCCACAACGACATCCACAATATTCCACAAAATTCCACAATTGCAATTATTTCGATTCTCTCTTGCACAGTGCACATGGCACATGGCACACTAAAACCGGGGATTCATTGATTATCTAGGAGCTCCGCCAAAAGGAAGATAACGGTCGTGAGTAATAGAAAAGACAGTGAGAGGCAAGCGAAAAGGGAGGGGTTGTGTGCAAGAGAGAGAGGAGAGGGAGAGGGACAGGAGAGGGAGAGGGAGAGGGAGAGGGAGAGAGAGAGGGAGAGGGAGAGAGAGAGAGAGAGATAGCGATAGCGATAGAGATAGAGATAGAGATAGACGGGGACGGAGAGGGAGAACGAGTGCGAGTGCGAGTTTACTCTAATACACTCACTCCATTCTGAATGCGACATTCAGCTACAATTAATACCACTCACTACCTAACTACCGGCCATACGACTACAACACAACTACTCCTCGTATAAACAAACCACAGAATCGACTGGAGTCATCTCCATCAACCGATAAAATTCAAAAGGCAATCTCTCATCAGAAAATCACATCAAATCAAATCAATTCAACTCAGTTCAATTCACCTCCCTTCCCTTCACTCATTTATTTACTTTACCACTACGATCCTCTTTTTTCATTAAAGAAATAAAAAGGTTCCAAGGTTGCATATGCAAAAGAACGATCGACCGAGTCAATCCAAACCACCCTTGCGTTTTACCTGTGCATCAAAGAAATTCATCACCATCATACTCCGTACACCCACCCAGGGCCCATCCACACCAGCACTCAACAACCCTGAAGATACCTTGTTTTAAGTACAAGTACCCACCGAACCCATACCTTCTTTTTGCTTGTACCTCCCTCCTCATCCCCCAATCTACCATTCTGCACACCTGCACGTCTGCACCTCTGCACATCCATCTGCACATCTGCACATCTGCATATTCCTACGCCAACGTACGGACAGGTGGGGGTTTTACCTATTGTCTTTCCCGGTCTCGATTCAATTCCTCGATTTCCTTTTTTTAACAATCCAAGTTTCAACGCATTGGTTTCTCGCGTTTGGAGCATCACGAAAATCATAGCCACATAAGTGCATCCGAGACCCCCAGCGTTATTGACAAATCGACTGGCTCAATTCAGCTCTTTAAATCTCTCCATACACCTAGATACTCCAATAGCTTCGCTGTCAACTGGTGTCAGACCTTCACTACATCCCGACTTCAAGAAACTTTGCCTCGTGGCGAAAAGCTTTTATTGAGATTCAGGGTCCTTCGCTCACTTATTATTCTCAACTAGCCATCCTGGTCTAAACACTCGCGATAACGACTTAATTCATAAAGCGAATATCAAACTTCATACACATACACACGACTCTCCTTAAAAAAACCCAACACACGAAACGCCGCAAAGAAACACGGTCGTCTTTTCCTTTTTATTTTTTCGAGTACTGGTACTTATTCGCTGAAATCGACTTTTTGGCTTGTCAATTGGTAATTCTCTCCCGAGACCAAGGTTCAGCCGATTTTGGTATGCAACCTTTTCTATCCCAGTCAAGCTTCATGATATGATATGATATGACATGACATTCCACACTCGCCCACTCCTCATTCCTCATTCCTCGCCGTTGACCAAAACAAAAGTTTATCCTTATCCAAAGTGTTCTTGCTAATCTTCACCATCATTATCAGATTGTGTTTACAGTGCGACGAATACAAAGGTCGATTCGAACAGGAAGCATTGAGAAAAACAACATCAAAACAATACATAACAATTGATACTCAAACACGATCAGGTAGATTATCAATCTGTTGGATTATATCGAAGCCAAGGACCAAGGAATCTGAAGATCGCCTTGCATTACTCGACATAGTCACAACCCGAAAATCTACCCCAACCTTTCCAACTAGGAAAACACCCATGAGATCTTCCAGAGGTGGCTCATCATGGTGAACTCGAATGAGTCTGAGCATTCGAAGCGCACGAGTGCACAGGTAGCTCCTCTTACAATACAAAAGGGTCGAACGCGTGGGAATAGCAACGCATCTTCCAAAAAACACAAAAGGAATACTTCATCCAAAGGTGGTAGCCAAACAACTTCTACCGGAAATCAATCACAAATTACACCTCCTGCCACTCCCAATGGTTCTCAAGAGAACTTGAATCAAATGGAACCTCCTCCACCTGTGTTTCACAGCTTCCTAAGGGCCTTTTACCCTTTCCACCCTGCATACGCTATATCGGATTCGACAGTCACGCTTCCATTGAATGAAGGGGATGTGGTTTTAGTACATTCGATACATACCAACGGTTGGGCAGATGGCACATTACTTGTTTCCGGCGCGCGTGGTTGGTTGCCCACGAACTATTGCGAGGCCTACGACCCAGATTCCATGAGGAATTTACTAAAGGCATTACTAAACTTTTGGGATCTTTTACGGAGTGGTTTAACTAGTGATAGTGAAATATTTGGAAATCAACAATTTATGCGAGGGATTATTGCTGGTGTTAGATATCTACTGGTGGGTATTTTTTCGGCATTGTGAATGATAAATCCTTGCTGATACGGGAATAGGAAAAATCGAACTGCCTAACTCGTGAATCACCAATTGTACAGAGCAATGATAATCTTCGAAAGAATAGAAAGGCCCTTTTGTCCGACCTCTCAGCGCTGGTCAAAACAGCCAAGCAACTACAGGACTTTGCTACTTCTCCTCCAGCGAAAACCGACGCGGAGAGCGTCAACGACATCATCGATGAGATGATTTTGAAGGCTTTCAAAATTGTTGTGAGGGGTATAAAATTCTTGGACAACTTGGAAGAGGACGCCAAACTTCGACAGCCCCTCCATAAAGTCATGGCAACCGTTGCTGAGGAATCATATGTTCCACCCACGCCACCAGCGGACTCGACGTCATTTAGCGGGGCACCGCATACAGACCCTGCAGACGACACGGCATCCCACAGAAGCTCTATCCGAAGTTCGGCAAGCGGCGCTTCTAGTTCCCTGCCATCGGAAGAGCAGAAACAACAGTCGCACAAACGGATATCGACCGCGTACCCAGCTGTAACCTCGCGTCCATTATCTATTTCTTCAACACAGGCTAAAAGGGCTTCCGTATCTCACCGTGTTTCACTTATAGCCTCCGTACCCACTGAACAACGTCAAAATCTTGTTTCTGAGAGATTAAACTGTGGTCATGATACCTTTCTCTCATATTTGGGATCGTTCATCGGACGGCTTCATCTACAAAGCCAGTCTTCGCTAGATTTACTCTCATCAGTGAGGCAGTCAGTAACCGCCGGTCAAGGTTTATTGATTGTAGTCGAAGCAGTATGTGCTCACGACAGCCAAAGCGCCGACTTGTTGAACAATGCTCGGGACGCAATGTATGACAAGATCAGTAAATTAGCGTTGGCAGCTCGGGATATAGTTAGTTCATCAGGTGTTGATGAAGACGATGTTGTAATGGCTCAACAAAATGGAGGATTACTAATGGCGGCCACAGGATGTGTCAAAGCTGCCGGAGAGGTTGTAGCAAAGACCAAATTTGTGATCGAGCGGATTGGGGACTTCGAATTTGAGCAAGCGGAAGGCCTTGGAATTAAAGTTGCCTCGATAGATGTCGTACCTGAACATACGATACAAGAAGATGAAGTTGTTGAAGACACCCCAGAACAACCTTCATCGCGCCCCCCTCCACCACCGTTAGTAATTCCAAATGTTTACGAGAAGCCATTACCAGAAGTGCCCCTCGATTCTCCGCCAGCAACAGAAATCAAACGAATGTCCAATCGACTTTCGAATACTTCTATTCTACCTCCGCTGCCCAAAATGGGTGCTCCTCTGATGAGCCAGGAGGATTACAGTCCTTCAGATCGTGCTTCAACAAGCGATGGAGAATTTCAATCATACAGATCAGCCAGTATCGCAATGTCCAGCACTGGAACTAGTAGCAGTTATATGCGGGATTCAGAGATCAGTATGATTTCGCAGACTTCTACCCGGGCGACTACACCAGACCTCACTTCGCACAAACCAAGAAACCAACCATCTATATCAAGCATCTGCATGAGCGAAAGCCAATCGACTTTTGCCGATGATCCATATGACCTCGAGTCAAAAATGCTTGAGAAGACTTTCGCGCACGAGTTACTACATAACAAAGAGGGTCAAATCACAGGTGGTTCAATTGCGGCATTGGTAGAACGACTTACTACACACGATTCAACTCCCGATTCAATGTTTGTTTCGACTTTCTACCTTACATTCAGATTATTCGCCTCTCCCATTGAGCTTGCCAATGCTCTGGTTGATCGTTTCGAATATGTCGGCGAGACTCCACATATCGCAGCGCCTGTGAGGTTGAGAGTCTACAATGTATTTAAGGGCTGGTTGGAATCGCATTGGAGAAAGGTCTCCGACTATGCTGCACTGTCCATCATCGAAACCTTTGCGAATGATAAACTCAAGGCCGCTCTTCCTGCCGCGGGCAAGCGGCTTCATGAGCTAGCGCAAAAAGTATCTTCTATAGATGGATCTTTAGTGCCCAGGCTCGTTTCTTCCATTGGAAAGACTAGCACATCAGTCGGTCAATATGTACCAGCAGATGTACCGGTTCCTCCTGTCGTGGTAACCAAGAGCCAAGCTGCAGTTTTGAAGAACTGGAAAATGGGTGGGAGCAATCCTTCTATCGTTGAATTTGATCCACTTGAATTAGCCCGTCAGTTGACTATTAAGGAGATGAATATCTTTTGTTCCATCATGCCGGATGAGCTTCTTGGAGCCACATGGACTAAGGCCAGAAAAGGTGGTTCTAGCGCAGTGAACGTTAAAGCCATGTCCACATTGTCAACAGATCTTTCTAATCTCGTTGCGGACACAATCTTGCAATATGATGATGTCAAGAAAAGAGGAGTCATCATTAGGCACTGGATCAAGATTGCGCACGAATGCTTCAGGCTCAACAATTATGACTCGTTAATGGCAATCATCTGTTCACTCAATTCATCTACTATTGTCAGATTAAAGAAGACTTGGGACTTGGTTCCTCAAAAGCGAAAGGATATGCTCAAGGCTTTACAAGCAATTGTTGAGCCAGAGAAGAATTACGCAGTTCTTCGACGCAGGCTTCATGATCACGTACCCCCATGCCTTCCATTCGTAGGTACCTACCTCACAGATTTGACATTTGTTGATGCTGGTAACCCAGCCACAAAGCAATTAGCTGATGGTACATCGGTAATCAACTTTGACAAGCATACCCGTACAGCCAAAATAATTGGCGAGCTACAGCGTTTCCAAATTCCTTACCGTCTGGCAGAAGTTCCAGAACTTCAAGAGTGGCTTCAAGCTCAAATTGTCCGCGTCAAATCCGCCTCGGATCATGAAAATGTTCAGCAATACTACCGAAAGTCGTTACTTTTGGAGCCACGCGATGTCTTGGTTACCAAGCCCAGTCCTGTGGACTCGGCAGTTTCCTTCACCTCTTCACAGGGAAAGGACAAATTTGATATCTTTGGATGGACTCACTCATCAAAGGATAAAACACAAACACCTATCTAAGCAACTTTTGCCCTTTCTCTCACCTGTCATCAATTGCACTTACTCCGGAATCGGAACACATTACATGCACATCATGACATTCACTTGATTTGATACCCCCCTCCCACTTTGAATAGCGTTTTAGCGAATGATCTTTTTACTCTCGGAGTTTACACACGGCGTTCTCGACAGCTCGCTCATAGAAGCGCGACAGCTTCCATTTTATTTGTTTTACATCACACTTTTACATACTTGAATACCATCACATTTGGGTATCAAGATTCCGCCCTGGGAGGGATAAAAAAGCTTTTTTTATACTCATAATTGTATACTGGTCGATCACGAATTGTACATCATATCTTTCCAATTCTTTTATTTTCTTTTCTATCTTGTATTGTTCTTATTAGCGCATCCCAGATGGGTGCGCGGTGAAGGTTATCATGGTCTGTCTGGTATGGTCGGGGAAGATGTTGAGATGGGTGGAGTTTGGGGAAATTCAAACAGAGAACATGCATTTCGGTATGGAATCTCTCGAGAGATTCATTAAGAGATATCAATAGGGAAGTGACCCCTGGTTATTTGCAGCATTAGCAAAGGCAATTGATATACGGATGAGCTCGCGCTCGGGTTCTAGTTAATTTATACGTTGGTATTGGTATTTTGACCAGTCGGATGTATGGAATGGGATGGGAGAAATTATATATTGTTTGTGTGGGTAAGATCGGAGGACGGTGGGAATGGAATGGAATGGAATGGACAGGTTGGAATGGATTTTAGATGAGGCTCATGGATATGATTAGATGAGGTTGATGGGATGAAATAGGGAAGATGGACAATAGTTAGATACCAATACCAGGCAGAAAGGAAAGGCAAGCCACGGCCTTGCCGGAGAAAGAAAGGCTAATGAAGATTATGACAAACATATCATTGGTTTCGTGTATATGTTTTTTGGTGATCAACTTTTATGAGAGTGAAGTTTGTTTTGAGGTTAGACGTTAGACGGGTTTGAGGTTTTAGGATTAAAATGCTCGGTGCCCGACTTTTCAAGGGACCGATGTTAAGGGCTGGGGTTAGGGGCCGATTAGCTGTGGTTGGAGGGGTTTGGAAAGTGGGGTGGTGGAGTGGTTGGTGGAGTGGTGGCTCGGATAGCGAATTAGAGAGGGGGATATTGGACTGGATGGATTGATGAATTGATAATAATGAGAATTTAGGATTTGGGATTTTGGGATTTGCTTTTTTGTTTTGTTTTTTGGGAAATTTTGATGTTTGATTGGGTAGAGCTGAGGAGAGCTGAGGAGAGCTGAGAAGGGTAGAGGAGAGGAGAGGCTTAGGTATGGTTTTTGTATTATTAAGAGGTATTTGATTTCTGAGGTTGTGGCGTGGGGGTACGGTAGGGTAGAGGCTAGGTAGTGGGAGGGGAAATGGGAACTAGATAGGTGCCTATTAGTGCCCTAGAGTCAATGCTGACGAAGTACATGGATGAAGTCTTGTATACGAAGACTTGCAGTATATTGATTGGAATTGCTGTTGTACATGTATTTACGTGTCTTTGCAGTATATGTGTGTGCCGTCAATATAGAGTTAGGATGGATACGATATACCGGTAGGTCGTAGAACAATCGTTAGTTGATATTGTTCTACTGCTTTGTGTTGGTAGAGCTTTGATCTGAATTGAATGGGTGAATGGGTGAGTGGGTGAGGTGAATAAAGTCAACGATAGATGAAAAGTCATTGGATAATCCATCCTTGCTTGAGATCTTCAGTGGCAAGAATGATATCCTTTCCTCCTCAACTCGCGATGGCACCATTTTCAATTAAAACCATTGATAAATCAATCCTCTGAATTCCGTTGCCCCACCAACACGGACTGGATAAGCGTAAAATCTCTGCAAATCACGTGTTGGCATTCTTATCTTTGTACGACGCCTCTACTAGACCTAGGCGGGGTTCTCGAGACTAGCCACCCCTCTTTCTGTCCTTCTGTTCTAGGTAATAAGTTCTACCCTTAAAAGAACAAACAAAAACCTTTTTATTTACCTCTTTTAAGCTCACCGCTTTTCATCCCTCAACAACTTTCTTCTTCTCTCTCTTCCTCTTCTCATCATTCTTACAAATACTTCTATCGGACCACTTTGAAAATATCTTCACAAAGTCTTCACTTCAATTACTTTTTTATTCTTCTTCTTCTTCTTCTTCTTCTTCTCCTCTCCACAAATTGGAATAGAAGAGATCAACCACAACCTCCGACTTCGCTGTCTAGTTTCATCTCACTAGCACGCCATAAGCTGTTGGTTTAAATACCTTCACATCCACAATCTCTTCCACCATCATCTTCCTTCACAATTGCAAATATGGTTCAATCGTAAGTATCATCCTTCTGCCATACTCTCTACAGTCTGTTAATCATATAATGATAGATCCGTTCTTGGTTTCCCACGTATGGGAGCTCTCAGAGAGCTTAAGAAAGCTACTGGTAAGCTTTTTTACCTCTCAGTTTTACCCCACATTGTGTATACTAACAATATCAACAGAGGCATACTGGGGTCAAAAGATTTCTCAGGCTGATCTCCTTGCTGAGGCAAAGAGACTCCGTCTTGAACATTGGAACATTCAAAAGAAGGCTGGTGTCGATATCATTCCATCCAACGACTTCGCTTTGTATGATCAAGTTCTTACTCACATCCAAGACTTTGGTGTAAGCTTTTCTCTCCCTCTCCAAAACTTAATGGAACACCGCTGACAATTATCTTTACAGGCTACACCAGAAAGATATACTCAACATGGTCTCGACCAAATCGATCAATACTTTGCTATGGGACGTGGTCACCAACGTGATGGTATTGATGTTCCTTCCTTGGAGATGGTAAAATGGTTCGACTCAAACTATCATTACGTCAAGCCAACTCTTCAAGACAACCAATCCTTCAAGCTCACTTCAGACCCAAAGGCTGTACGTGAATTCAAGGAGGCCAAGGAGGCTGGTATCACTACCCGGCCAGTCTTGGTTGGTCCAGTTTCTTTCCTCCACCTCGGAAAGCCAGATCGTGGACAATCCGTTGACCCAATTGATCTTTTGGACAACCTTTTGCCAGTTTACATTGAGCTCCTCAAGCAACTCAAGGCTGCTGGTGCCGAGACTGTTCAAATTGATGAGCCAACTCTCGTTTTCGATCTTCCTGCCAAGACCAAGGCTGCTTTCAAGCCAACATATGAGAAGCTCGCCAGCTTAGGTGATGAGATCCCAAAGATCGTCTTCGCTACCTACTTCGGTGACATCGTTCACAACATTGATGCTCTCCCAACTGACATCTATGCTGTTCACGTTGATTTGGTCCGTAACCCAGAACAATTGGAGACTGTCATTTCCGCTTTGGGATCAAAGACCATCTTGTCTGCTGGTGTTGTTGATGGACGTAACATCTGGAAGACCAACCTCAAGCGTGCCATTGAGACTGTTGAGTCTGCTATTCAAAAGCTCGGAAAGGATCGTGTCATCGTTGCCACTTCCTCTTCCCTCCTCCACACCCCACACACTCTTGCAAGTGAGAAGAAGCTTGACCCAGAAATTGCCGATTGGTTCTCTTTCGCTTCCGAGAAGGTTGTCGAAGTTGCTATCATCGCCAAGGCTGTTACTGAAGGACCAGCTTCCGTTCGCGCTGAGCTCGAGGCTAACGCCAAGTCTGTCCAAGCTCGTGCTTCTTCCAAGAGAACCAATGACCCCAAGGTCAAGGAACGTCAATCTAAGATTGTCGAGAAGGATTACAACAGAATCTCTTCATTCCCAGAACGTATCTCTCTACAACAAAAGGCTTTAGGTCTTCCTCTTTTCCCAACCACCACCATTGGTTCTTTCCCACAAACCAAGGAGATCCGTATCCAACGTAACAAATTCACCAAGGGTGAAATCACTGCCGAGGAGTACGAGAAATTCATTGAGAAGGAGATTGAAGACGTCGTCAAGGTTCAAGAAGAACTTGACCTTGATGTCTATGTTCACGGTGAGCCAGAACGTAACGACATGGTTCAGTACTTCGGTGAACGTCTTGATGGTTATGCCTTCACCACACACGCCTGGGTTCAATCATATGGTTCCCGTTGTGTTCGTCCTCCTATCATCGTTGGTGATATCTCTCGTCCAGCACCAATGACTGTCAAGGAGTCCAAATACGCCGTCTCCATCTCCAAGAAGCCAATGAAGGGTATGTTGACTGGACCAATCACCTGTTTGAGATGGTCTTTCCCTCGTGATGATGTTCATCAATCCGTCCAAGCTGAGCAACTTGCTTTGGCTCTTCGTGACGAGGTTGTTGATCTTGAGGCTGCTGGTGTTTACGTCATTCAAGTCGATGAACCAGCTCTTCGTGAAGGGCTTCCTCTTCGTTCCGGTAAGGAGCGTGAGGCTTACCTTGATTGGGCTGTTAAGTCTTTCAGACTTTCCGTCTCTGGTGTTCAAGATTCCACTCAAATTCACTCTCACTTCTGTTACTCTGAGTTCCAGGATTTCTTCCACGCCATTGCTGCTCTTGACGCTGATGTTCTCTCTATTGAGAACAGCAAGTCTGATGCTAAGCTCCTCAAGGTCTTTGTTGATGAGGCTTACCCACGTCACATTGGTCCAGGTGTTTATGACATTCACTCTCCTCGTGTTCCATCCGAGCAAGAGATTAAGGACAGAATTGAGGAGATGTTACAATTCCTTAAGCCAGAGCAACTTTGGATTGATCCTGATTGTGGTCTCAAGACTCGTCAATGGGCTGAAACTAAGGCTGCTTTGACTAACATGGTCAATGCTGCTAAGTTTTACCGTCAAAAGTATGCTAACAAGGCATAAATTTCACTTCATATCCATATGTTAATAAGGGGATGTGAATTGAAGATGATATCATGAGGTTTTATTTTTTAATGTCTTGGTTCTTTAACCAATGGGAACGACTTCAACATCGGCGTTTCTTGGTTGGGGTATTTAAGACAAAAGCGATTTATTATGAGCGTTACTTTGGAGTTTTCAACAGCGTAGGGCGGTCGTGGGTAATAGATGATCCATCAACCGGACATCTTGGTGGCGTGGCGTATCAAATATGAAATATGATGGGAAATGAAAAAGGTGATGAGGATATGGAACTCTTATGACGTTAAACCAACTTACTATCTTGATGATTGTTAAGGAGGACGATAAGAGTGGATTTTTGGTGAAGGTTGGTAGATATGATAAAAGTAGATAAATATACCCTTTTCAACCGGGAAACTATATTCTGTCATATGATGAGAAGTGATGTGATTATGTTACTTATCATTCTCCAGAGTGAAACATTTTCTAGTTTGCTACGTTCATACTTGATTCCTACCTCCAATAGAGTTGTAAATCACATAATTCACAGGGTAAAAGTGTATCTTGCGCCGTGGCTCTCATGAAACTGTCGACTTGTTTACTATTCCCTCATACCGGCGCCTCCGCTATTTGGCACCTACTATATTCCGGGTATCCGGTCACCTCGCTCCTGCGCTATCGTCGATCCTACTCATTTATCCCTCATCTTCTACTCTTTAGGAGGAATTCAATTTAGTGTTGGTTCTCCGGGTTTCGCATGATTAAGATATCCTAAAGGACGTACGGATTTCTAGGTGATTCAATCTTTTATGGATGTTTGGCTATTGGGCAAGAATTCCAAGCCTATCGCTAAACTAGAGATTCGGAGATGATGATTTAGGATTGAGGGGTTAATAAATCTAATATGTTTGCTGTGGTTTGTTATATATAATTACTGCAAACTCATAACTCAAGTCAAAATATCTATAGGTACCAAACCAATTCTATTCTATGACTCTTCATTCTTCATTCTTAACCCTAACCAATCTCGTAACACTAGTCCCATCCCCCAAAACTTCTACTTCCTCTTCAACTCTATATCTTCCCCAAGTAGGCAACACCCGAAAAACCACCACCCACCACCCCAGCCCAAAAAGTATAATCCCCACCCCCACAACCGCATAAGTAGCATACCAGAATCCCACATCCGCGTTTCCTTTTTCCGGCGGGAAAAATGGTCCGGCTATCAATGCTAGACAAATTACTATCCTGATCCATACGGCTGGTAGCCAGGCTTTGAAAGGTCTTTTGAGATCGGGTCGATTGTAGCGTAAATAGATTAAACCTAGGGATATTGCTAGAGCGACAAATTGTCCGGGATAACCTTCGACGTCGAGGATAAAGTTGTAGACGTCTCCGCGGGGAGGGATGGCTATTACGAGGAAGGAGGGGATGTAGTGGACTATTAGACCGCCGAGGGGTGCGCCGAAAGGGGCGGAGGAGGAGAGATATTTGGAATAGGGGAGGAAACCTTGACGGGCGATTTCCTGATTTACGCGAGCCTGATGGAGTTTTAATTGCAAACTCGAACTTCGGGTCATAGTGACCAATGGAGGGAGAAGTAGGAGAAGTGGGAAAATATGGTTAACTTACAAGTGTAAATGTAACCACCATAACATTCCCTGCCGCACTAACCGCTACAGCAAGTGGTAAGAGGATACGTCCTCCAATGTCTCCGAAAACTCTCTGGAAGAATAAGGCAGCGATAAGCTGTCCACTTCCCTTCACTTCTTCCAGCGGAACCACTGACAAATACGCGAAATTCGCTAGTAGATACAATGAACAAGCCGTAAATAACGCAGCCGGTGCAACAGTTTTCAATGTTCTCACAGGATCCTTAACTTCATTAAGAACATTGTTAAGATTTGACAAGCCAGCATAAGAATACGAGACCTTAAAAACAGCCGTGGTCAAAGTTCCCCAATGCCAATTCGAACCCTCCCAAAGTCCATCCCATGAAAACCCATCTCTTGAAAACGTAGAAAGAGGAGCTTGTGTTTCCGGAAGCTTCACACCGAATACCACGACGAAAATTCCTGTGGATGCCATAAATAATATTAGGCCTACTTTGATCCATCCTAGGAAATTCTGAATCCATATTCCTGTTTTGAGAAAACATCCATGCACGATGGTTATCCAAGTGAGGAGGCCTAACGCGATGGCTTTTTGTCCTAATTCTGTGCCCTCAATCCCAAATGCAAAGAGTATGTATTCGCCAAATACGATACAATTACTAGCAGTGAAGCCTAGTAAAACAGCATGTACGGCTACCAACGTACTAGCCAGAAATCGTGGTCGCGGATACGTAAATTCGAGATAGACCTTCTCGCCTCCGGATCTGGGGAGCATACATCCATATTCTAGGGAGATTTGGAGTCCGAGCCAAGCTAGTAGAGAACCGGCAATCCAAAGGAGAAGCGCAAGACCAATGCTACCGGTTGTTTTGAGGATAGGTCCAGGGGTTGCGAAGATTCCCGAACCGATGACTCGGGATATGACGAGGATGTAGGCGCTGGACCAAGAGAGGCTTCGACCTAGAGTGCTAGTTTCAGGAATGGTATCGTCTTCTATTTGGCGGGAGGGTTTGGGAGGAGGGGAGGAGAGATGGTTGGTGGAATTTGAGCGCGAGGATAAAAGAGGTTCGGATTCGAGAGCCGAGGAATCGGCAAAGCTTGTTGCTGGTGACATATTGGAGGGACGTCGAAGAACGGATCTACGGTCGCATTGCTTTCGTGTGCTATTCTGAGTACGGTATTACTTTAGAATCATAGATTGCCGTTTCATCGCAATTTTTTACATCTTATGGAGAAATCAGCTTGGAAATCTAGTCGTTATCGCGTTGGAATGTACCGAGTCGGAAGGAAATTCGATATCCGACGATGAGCTGGACGATTGTGAAATTGCAAATGAACTTGACCAAGACCGGGAAAAATAAGCAAACATCGACGGTAAACTTCGAATATCTTCAAAATGAACTTTGCATCTATACATTTTTCCAAAATAATTATTTGATAGCGAGAGCGACAACTACGTGCATCTAGCCGTAGCTCTACCATTATAACGTTTCATCCTCCTTGCCATTTCACCATCATTTCACCATTCAAACCCAGCCATATCAATGATGCCATATGAACTACATAAGACACATATTGTATTACAACCACACGGAATAGCCAGAAGGGTAGATCTCCTATGTATCATCTCATGCAATAATTGCGTGCTCTGATGATCTAATACCTCGTGATTGGACGGGAACCGACGGAAATTTTGGATCCTTGAGAATTGATACGAGCTGACTATCCCCCATCAATCTCATTGCGAGCAGGAGCTTTGAAATCAAATGAATAATGTTATGGACTTCCTTTGAAAATTTGACGACTTTAATTGAATTTAAGGAAGGAGGAAGCATTTTTTTATCCCGACTCCTCTTCGCTGATGCCGAAGGAGGATGATGATTGGTTGCTTTTTCAACCCCCATAATTTTTACAGCAGTGCGGGGTGAGGATAGCTTCAAATCAAAATGTTAAGTACTGGATATCACTTGCTTAAAAATCATACTTTTGATTGATAAACATATTCATGCACTTGGCATCCCAATGTCGTTCATGGTGTTGACGTGAAAACATATTTATACTTTTAAGTTCCTAGATTTGTAGTTGAAATTTCAAAAGAACAAGAACAAGAACGAGAACTCCTATCATACAGTTAACATTATCCTATCCTATCCTATAAAAATATATTAACAATCAAAGAAGAAAACAACAAATCATTGACAAAATGTCCACAACACTCACTGAACAAGCTTCCTCTGAGCATATCACCACGCTCAATACCAACCCTACCACCACACCTCACGATGTCGAAGGAATCATGAACTATTACCTCGACCCAGAAGATGGTAGTCCACCACCACCCAACATCGTGGGCAAACCTACCACGTTCGAAACCCCTGTAAATCCCGTCAAAGTTACTGTCCACGACATCCGCGGTTCGGAAGACCAACATACGTTGGATACTACTGGTTTTCAGATTGTGAATCATGTTAGTCAGGAGAAGAATTTTATTGACGACGAAAATATCAAGGGTGATTATTATAAGGAGACGGAAGAGCTGTTGAAAAGAGAGTAAGTAGCCACCGTGAGTCTCATTCAGTGTAGGATAAATCACTGACAAGGAAATAGAACCGGAGCATCTAAGATCTTCATCTTTGATCACACGATCCGTCGCGAAGCTCCCAACGGTACAGACCCAGCGCCTATTACAACCGAGACACCCAAAGATAACTCCTCTCCCGTTTTCGTCCAACGCGGCCCCGTTCAACGCGTTCACATTGATCAATCCTACAGCGCGAGCGTCAACCGCGTACCCTACCATCTCCCCGAAGAAGCCGACGAACTCCTCAAAGGACGATTCCAAATCATAAATGTCTGGCGACCTATCAAAACAATCTTCAAAGATCCTCTAGGAGTAGCAGCTGCCAATTCAGTCGATGAAAAAGATCTTGTTCCTATCAAACTGATCTATCCCGATCGCGAAGGAGAGACTTATGCTGTTCGCTATGATCCTGGTCACAAGTGGCATTATTTGTATAAGCAGACTCCTGCAGAGGTTCTTCTTATTAAATGTTTTGATAGTAAGACGGATGGGAGAGCGAGACGGGTTCCGCATAGTGCGTTTGTGAATTTGGAACATGAGGGGGGTGAGAAGAGAGAGAGTATTGAGGTTAGGGCATTGGTTTTCTACCCAAGTGATACGGAGTAGGGGGCATTTGGAGAGATATGGTGGCTTGCAAATATGATAAAAAAATTTAAAGGACTTTGAATGATATGGTTTGCTCTGAATTAAATTGTATAGCGAGTTATACTCAACATTGTTATAGGGGAGTAGAGTAGTTTGTAGTTGTCATCTCATTTAACCTTAACTAAGGTAACCTTAACCTTTGATTTTTTTTGGCCAATAGTAATCTTGAGTCTCAAATTACAGATTCAAGGTAAGTTTAACTACTGTCGAACATACGAATAGTAAGCCTTACTAATACCCTCCATCAAATAATCAATAACATTGCCGCGAAGTATGTATATCCTTTTCAATTAAGGTTCTAGAAAGAATAATTCAACCCATCCGGACAAAATTTGTAACGTTCAGCTGTGGGAAAATTTGAGTGCTTTCATGATAGCTCGGACGCAGTCTGAATGGACTATCCCTTAGAATGCCAAAATGGGCTCCAAGTGTAATAAGAGTTCTGATCGTTACTCACCACACCCCCTTCAAATTTTATCTACATTTTTGAAAATTTAATATTAAATCAATACCATAATATTTTTTATTGAAAATCTAATAATATATTAATAAATAATAATTAATCTTTTTACTTCAATTATATTTTCTAATTTACAAATAAATCTTTTAATATATAATCTGTTTAGGATCGGGACCTGAAAATATTGTGTCGCTTGTCTTATTTCTATATCTATGATGGCGACTTTCTTTCTGAAGTACCAAAAAACACGAAATTTCATTATAATCGAAAGAATGTTGCTTTCACAGAAGCTTGCTGAGATCAGAAACACCCTATTAGAGATGTTGAGAGATGATTAAAAGAAAGACAGGAAACATCTCCATCTGCTAATAAAGGCCAACCAAGCTCTCTTCTCAAACCCTTATCTGACGTAAGTGCACTATAAGTTGTCTTCTGCTCTATAAGGTAAAGATAACCAAAAATGGTATGAATTCTATCCTCGATTATATGCAACCTCAAGCGCGCTAGATCATCAATTAAAGCTGCGCGTGTAAGATCATTGACGGCCTAGTTGCTCATGGTTAGGATTTCGATGAACTTCTTTCGGGTGGCAGTCACAACAGCATGCCAATGAGACTCGTCTAATACAAAATGCAGACGCAAATGGCTAACTTGTTCCGATATACCAACTGAAAATCGTCTGACGCCCACAAGAGCACTGGCGAGATTGGTTTTCATATTGATCATACTGGTAATAACAACCGGCAGGCAGACAGGATGCGATCTGCCCTTCGATCTTCTAAGGGAAGGCACACCCAACGATTTTAGACGATTTCCTGTGACTGATACTATCGATATTCCTAAAAGCACGTGCTATAGCATCTAATATCACAAAGCAGCCACAGACTGCTAATTGGGTCACTAAACGGAAACCTAGAACAGGCCAAACATAACAGACCAATTAACCAGGTTGGGCCAGCCACCAAGCATTAGATCTACCGATCCAAATTTGTTGAACCTTACAGATATGTCAGGCCAACTACCTAAACCTGCACTTACCAAACCGGATGTATTGAAACTTTTGGATATCAGTTACGTTCAACTACCAAAATTTGGATGTGACAAATCAAGTTTGTCTTTCCGTCATATATCAAATATCGGAGGTTCCAACCTGATGGACCAGTCCGATATTTCATACTAATTGCCAAATTCTATGTCATTTGACTCAAATGGGAACATTTTAGGCTGTAGCAGCACGGCCGTAGCTTGCAAAAGCAGAGTCTGCAGCAGATTTTGCGATACCGGGGCCGAAATTATCGTATCTCCCATCTTCGGGGTGCGCAGCGTTGGTGTGCCAATTTGTGTAGGTTGCGCCGGCGATTTTTTTGCAAGCATGTTGAATATCAGTCGATGCAATACAGTCCGTAGAGTTCAGTATCTTGCGATCCCTAAGGGAAACACAAAATACTTCCTAGAAGTATTTTTTGCTAGTTTCGATTTTCCTAAAAAAAAAATATATATATATAATAAAACCCTTAGTCCAATGACAATTGATTTTTTGCACCGAGGCTAAGGTTCTAATACTATAAAATACAGTATCAGATGAAAGCCAAGGCTTTAATTATTTGTAGATCTACTGAATAAAGCACGAAAGCCCAAGATCCATGGTTTCGTCGGATCCACTAGTAATGGAGATCTTACTCCCTTGTCTTGTTGTGAGATGTTAGAAGTATACTTTCAAAGAGAATTGTGCAGTCCTGGGGTATAAATAGGGTGGGTTTTCCGTTGAATACTGCTTCCAAGATGCCCAATTTCCACACAATATCCCAATGCCGTCAAAGTGAGTTCTTCTCCACCCTCATCATCGCACTCAGCGTTGCTGCTGCATCAGCTGCCGCCGTCGAAGAACGTGCTACTGCTCGTTGCACCATTAAAACCTTCAAAGCAGCATGTACTGGCAGCTCATCCTGCTTGGAAGAATCTCATCTCATCTCACCTCATGATCCCTCCATCAGCCCACTAATAGAAATCCCCAGCTACTCGTTCGGCGCCTTCATAGGCACAGACACCACCGGCAGTGGCAGTTCCTGTTCCATCACCGTCCCGACCAGCAATGGCAAGCTTCCTGACGTCGCTAAGTATACTGGCACATATTGTGGTACGAAGTTTTGGTTTACCCATACTTCTACTGATCTTGAATTTTGAAATTTCATTCGGGTCACGTATTCTAGTTATCTCGGATACTTCTGATTCCATCCAGCGATTTGAGTACCGGTGATGGCGTTGAACGTAATACCAGTTCTACTTCCTTCATTTTATCTTAGTCTAATAGGCGGTAAAATGAACTCCGTATGGAATTGAATATGTTGGACGGCTTTAGGATAGATGTTGCTAGAGGTTATTAAGCGAGGACTTACCTGTTAAGGAAGTTGTAGTTCCTGATGCAGAATCATACCTATGTATATACTAAAGTTGTAGATTAATAAACAAAAGATCGTAAAGAAAGATTTTATTGTACAGAACTTCATTCTTTAATTATCATAATAATAAATATATTTTAATTATAACGAGACTCAATCTCGCTCAATCTTTAACCCCCTTCTTTCTAACAACATGCTCTCGCTTATCTTATATATTGTAAACGGAATTGGTATATGTACTGAAATCAGTGAATAAATCAATCCATCGAGCATTTATAGCCTAGTTAAACCTATACTATAAGAAAATCACATATCCCAATCAATAGCCGTCAGCCTCGAGAACGTTCGCATCAGTGGAAACTCCGTTCCATATTTGTTGTTTTTATACAAATGTGAGGAATGTGGTCCTTTTATTAATCACACCAAGCACTTCGAGCACTTCTCATACTTCTCATACTTCCCACGCACCATCACATACAAAAATAATGCCCAGCCAATAGAAACTGAAGAATAAGAAAGTATAGAATATCTTTTACATTACACCTGCAAGAAGGAAATGCAGACGAAGTTGCGGTATGAAGACAGACAATGTATGCTCAGTCCAAGTTTTAAAAAACATCAAGTCGGATTCATAGTAGGTATAAGTCTGATTTTGGGGGAGTTGTGTGACCTCTGACCCTCGCGAATGCAATGCTTCTCTCTTGTCAAAAGCTTGGTACGCAGATATGATTGCTTAACCCCTTGAGTGTCGGAAAGGGGATAAAGCCATGATTCTGGAATTACGACTGGCTTCTCGGAGTAAATGTTAAAACTATAACAAAATGTTTCTCAGAAAAGGGATGACCCATTAACCATACTACTTCGTACCATCTAGCGACAATTACAACCTGAGTATGTTGTTCGCATACACACAAAAGAGAAGTTCCCTTTTGTCATTGAAACCGAAAACATGACTCCCAACCAGTCCAACTCACTCCATAATTGCATCCCGTATACAAAACCCACAGTCTTCTCGTTCATCCCACAGAACCAACCAACCTCAAGTAATCTTACAATCAGCCAAAAAAAAGTCGAGAAGATGCTCCTTCCTATCAGCGACATGATCGTGACTCCCTCCACACAAAACTTCGTATCAGCAGTGATCCATGACCAGCAGATATACTAGATACATCGCTAAGTTGTAAGGATTTCTCCTAGGTAGACATACTAGTACTGTGTAGATCCGCATGGCGGAACTTTCGACCCATGGAGCCAGAAATCCGTAACTCGTCACAGTTATTAACAACGTTAACACTAGTCATACTAATACTCATATGAGTAACTTTAACGATGCAGCGATATCCTAGATATCGATCGATCTCCCACTCGGCAAATGAAACAACAGAACCGTAACACTACCGCATCGTTTCGCCACGCAAGTCCTTCCTGAAACCCCTCTCTATCCGAGCCCCAGTATCACGATCGATCGCCACTGCAGACTATTCATCTCCACGATGACTCTCCACAAAATTCGATACGATCTAGATGATATCAGTATGTATGAGCCTAACTGGCATTACCCGGTCCAATCCTCCCTCGTATTTAGAATATTCTCGTGTCCAAAGTGTTCTCTGGCTATACTGCCATTCATTCCATCCATAAGGTTAGGTCGTGAATCACTCGATCCCCTATGGCTATCAAAAAGCCAAGGAAATCCCCCATGAGTTTGTAATCGATATGCCCCATTCAAAATCCAAATCCAAATCCAGATCCCTCATCACTTTGTAATCGCCCCCTCCTCCCCACCCCACCACGAACTCCTCTTCAACCTCTAAACACGAAGATACGTACATGCAATGCATCTGCGATATATTCGTATCGATAAATCGTATACTCAATATCTAGCTATAGTGTAGTACAGTATAGTAAAATCTGATTAACGTTATAATTATACCGCTTCCATTATATCTATATCGAAGACCTGGTTAACGACGCTAATATTGGTTAATGTATACCGAGCTATATGAAATTAACAAACTTTTTAAGAAAAGAAAAGAAACTTAATCTAACTCACAAAATTCAAGATTAGGATAAATTTCATACAAAATTTAAAAATAAAACTTGTAGATATTGATATTGATATCGATACCATTTTGATACCGAGAACTTCTTTATATGAATCAGTTCTGCTTAATATAATGAAATCAATATTCACTTCGATGTAAGATCTTAACATCCACCCAGTATATATATATCGTATTCTCTTAAGCCTAACCTTACCTACCTACCTACTCATGCGGTCAGAGAGTAGACTCCCTATATAAGGCTCTCGGCTCTCCACTTTCAGCAGATCGATGCTACTATAACACAAAGGGAAAATGAATCATAATCAAGTGGATACATAGGTCTTGCTTACTTACTTATACTTTATATACTTTATATATACATAGCGGCACGAGCAGAAAAGTCAGGTAGGCTAAGTAGGTAGCGATGCTTAAATATAGATACGATTATTGTAATTAATTGAGCCCCTACGAAGCTCGAGTATCATAACTGGGACATTTTGAGCCTCTCGATTGAGATCATTCTAGAAATAGAAAATTGGTTTCATTGATTGATATATTAGGTATGTATGTATGTATGTATGTATGTATGTATGTATATATTGACTGACAATACAATATGGGCGATGAGAGGAAGAGTCTGAGTAGTATTGAATCTATACTCCGGATAATCTCAAAGCCTGAACCCTAGCCTATAAATATTTTCTTCGTTCCTATCCAGTTCAGTCCAGTTCAGTGCAGTGCAGTGTCTAGTCCACCTAAATAAAATAAATCTCAAGAACCTTTATCTGCGAGTTCTCTCATTTCATTTGTATGCACTATGTATACTACCTAGACTAGATTTCGATATGATTTTTCGATAGACTGGGAAACTCCTTCATTCATTCATTTTAAAGATCTCGAGGTGTAACCTTATCGAGATCAATAATTAGAAGACGGGATGAGATGATGAGAAGTTGAAAGCGTTAAAATTGATATCAATCAATCAAATGCTTATTTATTTCACCTCATTCATTTTGCTCCTTTTTTACTTTTGTAGCGCTGGTACGTAGGTATTTAATCTATAAGAGACAATTCATTCTGATAATGACTAGATGGAAAGGATATTATGATGAAGAGAGTATCTATCTATTTATAAAAATCCTCTCTCTTATCATCATCTCACCCACTCATTCAAATCAGTTCTCATAATCTTTAATACCTAGGTACTCTATAAAATGGATAAAAATTAAAATAAGATGAAACTTCTATCAATTTTTGATCTATGCTTCGGAACATTGTATCTGTGACATAAGTGATTAGGTAAGGTAACCTTGGCATACACGAGATTCGATTGTTAGGTAAGGATTAGTCAGCCCGTCAGGTGTCTGCCGATGGCTAATTTGGCTTTCGATAAAAATCGAATAATAAGTACCTAGGTGAAGAAAGTAGTACATACTTTACTTTACTACAATACCTACCTACCTACCGGTAGTCATCCGAGACGATGAAAAAAAACCCCCCGAATCTCATCCATCCCGCCCATCCATCCAACCAAGAGATAAAATAACAATCTAACAAAATCTCAAATCCCAATCACCTAACCTATGAGAAAAGAGAAGGAAGGTGGAGAGCGCGTAGCTAGCTAGCTAGGTACAGAAGAGTACAGTAGCTGAGCGTTTAAAATCTAGAACTCCATCTATCTATCTATCTATCTTGTCATGATGAAATATCCCAGATAGGATGCATTGCTTGGGTTAAGGTTACCACTTTGAGTTGCGTTGTTTGATAGGCGTTTGTGTTTCAGGGGTATAACACAGTAGGATGAAAATTTATTTGTGCAAAAGTGCAAAACTAGGGTTCCTAGTGAGCATAAGATTAAGATTATCTTTTATGCAGGTTGCAGGAGGTACAGTTTCATGAATTTTGGTTGTGCGATGCGCCATACATACATGGCTTTTTGTGAATAGCTGTGCGTGCTGTGTGTGTGTGTTGTGGGGATGAGATGGGATGAGGAGGAGTGGTGGAGGATTTTCTTGAGTCAACCGTTTAGTTGGGCGTTTGAGGTTATGGTTAGTTATTGGTCACTTGGGATGATGGTGAAGGAGAAGGAGAAGGAGAATCAAGGGATCAAGATGATAGCCTGCCTACCTACCTAGTACATACTGAGTACAGATGCTGTGATCCTCTCTCTCATCGGACTTTTTATGTAGATGATATAAGAATATCAGATTCGAGACTAGATTTTTACTTTGCCTTATCCTGAAACCTTATGAGATGAATGATGCATGATGCCGGAATAACCATTTTCAGACACTGCGCCTCAAATATTATACCGACGGTTGGTTTAGCAACGATGTCATTAATTCCATCTTGAAGCTTCGGATGTATCGCGAGGAAAGGAGTCCGGCCAAATCGGCACTGGGAGCGACCGATGAAAAAGGGCTTGAATCGCGTGGTGTTGATAAGCTACGGAGTGTAATATCGATCATTTAACGTTTAGGCCATGTTTTCCTTTTCAGTCATAGATCCAGGATGCACTGCACGCTGCACAGAATTCAAACTGGGGAAAGCATGCTGAAAAGAGAAGTTTGATCGAATAACGACGGTCGATTAAAATTAGAGGTCGGACACTAAAGCTTGGCCCTCTTGGCTATCATTTACCTCGTCCAGTTAATCGTGAATCAGTCACATCGCACAGAAGAGAGGGAATGATGAAGTAAGTAGGTAGGTAACCTTAGATAACCTCCATCGGAGTTTCCTGTTCAATCATCAGGTTGGTTTCTTTCGTCCAATTCAATAGATGTTTAATTTCCGATTTTGTTGAACGCCAACACCACATACGCACACAATACTTTTGACCAATCCGACCCATCTGCTGGGGAAATACATGGTTGGTCCATCCATCCATCCATCCATCCATTCATTCATTCATTCATTGATTGATTGACGAGATGAGATTCCCGCCTCGTACCTAGGTCAGCCTAGATGCAGATGATACACAATTGCGCGCATATATAAATTGAGTTATCCACAAATTATGTATGTATTGGATTCATAGATGATTCTCCTAGGTTCGATTTCACAACGAAGAAACAGTAGATGAGAAGGCTCAAACAAATGTCGTAATCGAATATCGAGTAGTTCATACCATCATACTAGCTAGATGAATGAATCTATCTATCTGAGTATCATCTCAAAAGTTGAAATTCATGCAAAAAAGGAAGAAGCAATGATCGATGATAGCATCAGAAGCTTGTTATATTTTTTATTTTAACAAATCATATTTTCATTGATCTTTTCTTTTCTTTTCTTTTCTTACCTACTTACCTACTTACTTACCTACCTACCTACCTACCTACCTATGATTAGATAGGTACTGCGTAGAAAATAAATAATCTAATCTCTGTTTGTGAAGGTTGTTTGTGAAGGTTGTTTGTGCGAAAATGGTATGGTTTCACCAACGTGATTAATATCATCAATTGATCAATGAAGCAAGCCAACCGAATCCTTTGAAACGAATATTCATTCCCTCCAATTTCTCTCTGCTTGCTTGGACCGAGTGATCCGACCATTCAGACGTCAAAGAATTATGATAAACATGGATCCCATCATCTAATCATTTTATACGGAACCCACCAACATTTTATGCTTCAAATATTCTATCGTTACTCAGTCGCGCATACATATTCTTTGGGTAGGTGGGTAGGTGGGTAGGTGGATAGGTATCTAAATAATAATATAAATAATTCCACCCGGATGAACAAACTCGATTATAATAACCTACCTATAACCAGTCCATAATACCCCCCCCCATCCCCTATCACAAATCTAACCAGAAGACAGCAAAATACAAAAGCGGGAGAAAATCAAATTTCCATTCGAACAAACTTCGTATCACCAACCCCTGAAAAGGCAACATAGCCTCTTATCACTCAGAGATCCCCAAGCTTTTTCCCAGGTACAGGCAGGGACTTCATTTGCGGTGAGATCCTCTAAAAAAGGACTTGTACCTGCATACCTAGCTAGATAGATGGACCCATGTGGGTTTTGAACCGCGCTGCCATGCATGCATAGGTAGGTAGGTAGGTAGGTACAATACATAGAAAGCGAGTAAAAAATAAAATAATAAAATAATAAACCCTTTCTGAATCAATCCTCACCCACAGAATAACCATCCATACATTGCATACGAGCTCTATCTATTATTATTATTATTATTATTATTATTATTATCATCACTATTTAGATCCTAACAACAAATTTTTATTTTATTTGAAAAAAAGAAAAGCGTCTCATCCCCATCCCCATCCCCATCACTCATCACCACCCATCACCCGTCAGCCCCTCATCCATGCTTACTCTATATTCTTATTATTTTATTATTTTCACAATAATACAATAAATCCATCCCACTCACTGTCAGGGTTCCCACTCTTTTTTTTTTCCGTGTCCACCCCCGTTTGCGTTTGCGTTTGCGTCTGCATTTGCCCATTTCCTTTTATCTCCTATAGTGAATCCCCTTCTCATCTTTCTTTAAAAGATTCCTGCACCCTCCTTTTCTCTTCACAAGATCTTCCTTGATCACTACACAGTCATTACCAAGTACCTTTTGCACAAAAAAGAGTTTCTTTCGTTCATTTCCAACTCTACAGTCACTCTTTAACTTAAGAACATACACTCTTTGCGAAAGCGACAGATTACTTGACATATTAAAAGCAAAAAAAGCACAATTTGGGTATATAACAATTTTTCTTTGGATATTTTCAGGAGCAAGGGAGGAGCATTGAAAAATTTGAGAATATATCGCAAAGGAAGGAACATATCATTTACGAGGAATCTAGAACAGATAAATTATCCTTCGATACCTATCAATCATCATGCAATTCACCACTCTCTCCTTGGCCCTTTTGGCCGGAATCGCCACCGCTTCTTCTCATGAAGGTCATTACCACCCCAAGCGTGTTACCAACGGTACCATCTCTGCTGCCACTAGCCTCGCTCCTCAAACCACCATGACCGTTTACGCGACCACCGTCCGAACCATCACCTCGTGTGCTGCCTCCATCACCAACTGCCCAGCTCGTGCCAGCTCTTACGCTTCGGGTGCTGCTACCCCATCCGAGGTTATCGTTACTGATACCATCACCTTGGCAACCACCATTTGCCCAGTCACCGAGGCCGCATCTGCCAGCTCTGCTATCACCAGCAAGCACTTGACATCTGCTCTTGCATCTCTTTCATCCGAGATTGCCAAGGCAGCCAGTTCCGGTTCTTTCTATGGTGCCACTACCACTACAATTGCTCTAGGTTCTAGTGCAGTTCCCTCCCCAGCTGGCGTTTCCAGCGCAGCAGGTATTGAGACCACTCCAGCTTCCTCAGGTGTTGCCGCACCAACTGGATCTTACCCATACTCCGTCTCTGCTCCTCTCGGAACTGGTGTCGTTTCTTCTGCTCGCGTTGTTACCGGTAGTTCTAGCCACACTTTGACCTACACTCTCGGTTCCGGTTCATCTACCACCGTTGTCACAACCACCATTGTCGAGACTTCCGCCTCTACCATCTATTTGACCGTCACCCCATCTCAAACCGTTCCAGGTTCTGCTGAAACCCCTGCCGTTTCCTCCAACGCTGGTGTCGTTTCTGCTGGTGACTCTACCACTTCCCAAACCACCACAATCTACGGTACCTCCACCTCTACTCACTACGTCACCGTTTCAGCTATTTCCCCAGCTGGATCCGCCGCCACTAGTCTCTCTGGTGTCTCCGCCGTTGTATCAGGTGGCTCCCCATCTGCTCCTGCTGGATCTTCCCCTAGCGCCCCTTCAGTCCCAGGCTCTGGTTTACCAGTTGCATCATCTGGTTCCTCCGGAGTTGAGACCTGTGCTCCCGCTGAGGCCTCCACCGTCACAGTCACCGCCACTGTTGCCGCCGAAACCGTTACAGTCGCTGCTCAGACCGTCACTGTTGTAAGTCTTTAATTTATCTCCCTTCAATTAACTTATTCTAATAAACACATCTAGACCGCTGACTGTGCCGCCACTGATGCCATCTCCGGTATTCAAACTGCTGTTGTCGCTACCTCTGCCGCCGCAGCTGTTTCTACCGATGCCTCCGTCATCGTTAGCACTGCCACCGTTGTCCCAATCCCAGCTACCACCGCCGCCATCTCTTCCATTCCTCTCTACGGTAACGGAACTGCTGTCACTTCCACAAAGAAGTCTAGGTGCGCATCTTCTGGTTTCTTGACCAGCAAGGCTAGACCAACTGGCGCTAAGCCAACTGGTTACTAAATTCTCCCTTGAAGGAAGAATTTTGTATATTCTTGAACTCGACTTGATGAACTGCTTCTTGACAGCGAAGTAAGTGATTGGGTATGAGAAGATGTTGGAGGTGGGGGTTTCTTTTGTTACTTTGTACATTGTCGATTTTGCAAAATATTATGAAGGGGACGAGGGGATCAGACAATTAGAAGTTTGCGGATTGATGTAAGGGATTGATATCAATGAAGACCAAAAAAACCAAATACTTTCTTGTGCACAGCTTTTGAGAGTTTTTATGTATGCGTTTTTTGTGTTTTACCGAATGTTTTGCTTGCTTGTGCATTTTTGGTCATCAGGTTATGTCCAACCAGCATGGAGTTCATGTATATGATGTCTTTTAGGATTGAGAGCGGCGAATTTACAGACTGATGAATGTATTCTTGTATGCTATTTGCACATCTCTGTCCTCTTGGAGGTGATGTATTGTAAAGAACGATCTCGAAAATTCAGAAAGTACAATGCAAGCTTGCTCGCCAACACAATATTATATTCTTGTAAATACCTTGAAATCAATCCACGATGCTATGTTTTATGATTTAATGCTCTTGCTCCACAGGACTCTAGTACTGGATGAATCAATATGAAGTGGTTTGTCTGTGACTACAACGAATAAATTTGCGACACATGTACGAAGGATTTAGAGACGGATTGGAATGAATAGACGGATGCTAATTTCTCGGCAGAAATCGTATTGGGGTACTGATGGATTTGGTGGAATCTGGAATCCTTGATTCAAAGTAATTAATATGTTACCATCTTGATGTTGACCTTGATCTTGAGAACATTGTACTAACAGTTCTCATTCGAATCATCGTCGTACTCATTCAGCTATCTTCCCCAAATGATAACCTCCAAAATTAACTGAGACAAGACAATTAATTGCAGTCGCATTGAATTTCAAAATAAATCTCTTCTTGGTAGATGTCCCGAAATCAAATATCGAGAACTCTCGAGTAAGTTGAAATGAAATAAAATTTTCGTATTACTAGTTTTAGTATGTAAAATTACCTCGGATGATCATCTTGAGCATCTAAATTTGAACTCTGCTCTGTCTGTGTCGAATCTGGTGTGCTTGATGACGAAATGGCTCATCCTCGCTCTCTGTTCTCTTTTTTACTCGTCAACTTCAAATCATGAGCTGGAACTCGGGGTATGTGTTTGTTGTGTTGGTGGGTATTCTGTCTGGAAACTAAGACATTCTGTCGCATGCATACAATATGCGCATAATGCGTTGCAGAATCGTGGAAGGACGGAGTACGGAGTCGAGAGATAAAGGAACGATGGTGTAATTTGAAGGAATACAATGAAGTACTCGAACATTTGGATGATTTGGATGATCTGGTGTATTGTATGTAATTTATCTCGAATTAATTGTAGACGATTGAAGTTGATGTTCATCTCTTTCTTCTTCTGTTTCTATGTGATTCTTTCCTTCCCCTCATCAATAAGCAAAACAGCATTCATCATCAGTAAGCATAATCATAAATAGCCATCCACGCCTATTACATTACTTAGGTATTCGTCGTTTCCAGCCAAGCCTAAGCGCAGAGCCCCAACCAAAATCCTACCGAGACGAGATCTTACCTGGGGATGTTCTGTTTTCATTCTTCACTTGGTAATGCTCGAACTTGATTTCTCATCTAAACTCTTACAAACCCAACCATACGAACCATACAATACCCATTCATGATTTCAATGAAAGTAGATCAGCCTCATACTTGATGCATTCATTCGACTTTTCGATCCAACCTCCTCAATTACCTTCAATCCTTCATCAGAAGCTTACCTGAAATTCATTCATTCATTGTACAACTTCACTCAAGTGTATTCCTCATTCTAACGTCTCTTACATTGCATTGCATTACATTACATTACATTACATTACATTATCCTCGATCTTCGGGAAGCGGGTACGAAGATTACTGTACAATCTCCTCTCTGCTGCAGTTATCTACTATTTCCTTCGGGCTTTTGAATGGAAACGATTTGTCCAGAGTCAATTACAAGATTCATTTCATGGACAGAGAAACCATCTTTCCGAATCAAATCATATTATATTTATAGACAAGCAGCGATTACCAGCGACTATCAGCAACTACTAGCAATTACCAGCATCTGCAACCAGCGAACACTCTCAACTTCATCCTCGACAAACCCACCGCCCCACACAAATACCCCAACCTTACACGTAAACAATGCGTCGCGCATCGCAAGACATGAGCGATCCCGATCGTAACATTATGGAATCAACCGGTATGCCAGAAGATCCCGCAGACCTCGATCTCATATCCGAGAGAGAGGATTCCCTTTCGAATCGAGTCCATACTCCACCACCACGTCTCGCAGCAAGATTCTATCGCCCCACCAATAATCGTCGTAAATCCTCGGCTGCGTCTTCGAGACGAAATTCTATATCTTCAGTTCATTCACATGGCTCAAGTCGTCATGCGGGGCATGCCGCTATGGCTGGCTCGCAGAGTAACTACATTGCTCAGCATTTACGCAGAGCCAGTATACTCGAGGATCGAAAGGCTAGGTTGGCTGATAGAGCTGCCCATGCGGAGAAGGTCAGATTGAGGGCTGCATTAGCCAAGGCCGCACCTAGAAGTACTACAAATACAGAAGAAAGAGCATTGGCAGCTCAACAAGCGAGAGAAAAGAATTTAGCTGAGATTGTGGCGAGTTGTGCGGAAGAAGTTAAGCGGGCAAAGGGGATTGCCGAGACGATGAAAGAAAGAAGGGAATTGGAGGGGAAAAAGCTAAGAAAGGAGATGGAGGAAAAGCTTGCCGAGGCTGAAAGGAGGAGAGAGGAAATCTTGAGTCGAAACAATAACACAAAGCAACGAACAAGAAGTTTGAGCAGTATGAGAAAAAGCTCGAGTCCGAGTCCGAGTCCAAGTCTAGTAGCGGAGGTCAAGAAGGCACCACTTGACGAGCCAGCGGCAGCAAAAATAATCCAAACTAGATGGAGAATTCATAGACGTTGGAAAGCACTACATGATTTTGCGGAATTAGGTCTCACAATTGATGGAGTACGAGAGACTTCTTTTGAGAAAGTAGTTGATCTATTAGCACAAGAGAAAGTCCTTGTCAGCACAGCACATATCTTGAGAATCTGTGGACTCAAAGAAGGAGAAAGTGGATCAGTCAATGAAATGACAGCAGTCCGAACATTTCTCAGCGCTTTCCTTATCCTTGGTCACCCTACCCAAGTCTTGAGTAGTAAAGGTGATAAAGGAGAACAGGAACAGGTAGGGGCGCAACCAATGAAAAGGGATGATTTGGCTAATCCACAATTACAGGACCTCGTTGCAAAAGCCCGAGATCTTCTTATTTCTTTTGAGACCGTTTTATCCAGATTGACGACAGCAAATAATTACACCCCTCCTCCTGCTCAGCTATCAACATTGTCGGAAGTTTATGCAACATTTTTCAATGCCTTTATTGCTTGGAAATCAAGAGATGCGAGTACCCTGATTGATATGATGGTTTTACAATTTGTGGAATTGGATTCGATATGGCAAACTGTTAAAGATAGCACGGAAGAATCTGTGACTGATTCATACCGTGATGGGATCAGAGATAATCAACTTAAGCTGATGGTCAGAATAAAAAGGCTCGCTGGACCTGTTCAGGGGAAGCGGTTAATTGCAAATGCTATCCGAGAAGCAAGGAAGGTCAGGCAAACAAAACAGCCTGCTGGAGATTCGAAACCTCGTGCCGCAGAGACAGGATCTGCATCTCCTGTTATTGAAGATTTTAATGCTTCCGATACTGCCGTTGCATCTCATTTACAAACTCTTACACCACCTGCTACACCTGTCAAAGAACGCCGTTGGCAAAGTACTGATGCGGATAACTTAAGATCGGTAAATTCAATACTTCCAGATAATCGAATCTTAGTCCATGAATTGGCTATCAACAAAGAATATCGTATTTCCATGGAAGATTGTCTTCAACAACGAGGTGCCGTTAATCAACTCATATTTGATTCCATGAGACAAGAAGTTGCAGCTGGAAACAGTGACCCTTGGGTTCTTGCTATGGCGGACAATATCAAGGGAAAACTTCAACGTCTTCTCACTCCTGGAAATTCAATGTACAAACTCATTGAAGATTCCCTTGATACGGATCTTGTAGCATCAGAACTCAAGAATGGAAGATTTTCATACGAAACTTTCTTCAACTTCATGGGCAATATTCTTCCTCGTTTATGTGCCCCTTTCCGGGATGATGAGGTCAAAATCCTTGTTGAGACGACTCTCAAAGAAGGTGATTTTGTCGATCGTCTTCAAGCATTGATGCGGTTCATTGATTTGATGCAGCTTGATTATGCCAATTTCATGCTTCAACAATCAGCTCCTGAGTTAATCAAGCATGCCTCCACATATGAAACCAAACGTTTCTCGGAAGAAATGGGAGAAACCAATAATAACCTTACGATTACCACATCAGCCTGGCGGGAAGCTCGTCAAAAAGTCTATGCCGAAGCAGCTCGTCGAGATCCTGAGAATGTTAATTTGTTGAGAAATAGACCTACGCCAGAGAAAACCTATATTCAGATGCTAGCGGACATATGCACATCTGCGCCGGGTAGCCCCGTGCCAGAAACATTAAAATTGAACATGGGAAGGATTGAAACGGCTAGGAAAGACACGCTCCGTATTGTCACTACCTCAGCTATTCTCCTCCAGGTCAAGAATATCCTCAAGCGAGATGTGAGAAGTCAATGGAAAACTGAAGCTTCAAGAGTTTATTCCGTACTTGAAAATTCAAAGGAATCAGAACAAGCAGAACAAGGTATTACAGCCGCATTGGAAAGTAGTAGGAGTATGCCGATGGCTACCAAAAACCATATTCGCGAATTAGTCAAGAGGATCGTGGCTGCGGCCGCGGCTTCAAGTGCTAATGAGGAACTTCGTGAACCGGTTATGAAACTCTTGATGACTAGATTGAGAGGTTACCTTATTCATAGACTGGCAAAGGAAAGTCCAAGAAATGATGGGAATGGTAATGAAGGAATTGCAGGATTAGGTATGCCAGAGTTTGTGGCGAAGATTGGGGGGATTGTGGAAGTTATGGGGAAGATGGCTCGGGTGGATAAAGACGCCCATGGGATTTGGTACGAGGTTATTGAGAGAGCAGCTTCAGATGAGGTTTGAGTTCTGAGTTGTGGTTAAGGTTACGAGGTGATTTTCTTTCATGCGCTGGGGGATTCGGAATCTGTGTATACCTTGTTGTTCATTTCAGCAGGAGTTCTTTGGCTTCATTACCCCCGCAGAAACGGATGAGGATTCTAGGCGTTTGTCTATTTCCGGAGTTGGTTCTTTGATCAACATGATACGGGCACTTGGAGTTGATGGCTTAGGGTACTTGTTCACTTGCTTTGGGATGGATAGGATATTATATCACGGATGGATGGATATGAATTATGACATTTGTTTATTGCTTGACTTTTGTTTGAAGGAAGTGGTTTGAAAGAAGTGGATAATGAATGAATGGATAGAGAAGGGAGAGAGTGTGTGCTGATCGATTGATCGATCCAGCGAAGCGGAATTGGAGTATTATTTCACATTACATTACGTACTTTTATATCTGATAGTGTGGAGTATTGGTATCATGTACATGTATACTTCATCCCAGTCGGGATACATACCATCCATACCTAGATACCTACCTACAGATGGATGGATAAGTAACCAACAGCGATGGCGATGGAATCAACTGGGATCAGGAAGAAATAACACAGCGTTCGTTTTTTAATCTAGACTTTTTATTATTCTTACTAGTATTCTTAACATCATCATCATCAAATAAGATACTTATTTTCTCGTCTCTAATTCCTAATTCCTGATCCCTCGCTCAAGAGTATATAAATATACAAAAACTTTAAAGTTTATACTATAGTATCCTATATTATCCTATCCTATCCTATCCTATCCATAAATAAATAAATAAATAAATAAAACAAAACTCGCTATCTATACTACAATATTCGAGTTAAGAGTCTTGTATCTTGTATCTTGTATCTTGTATCTACCTAGCTACGGGTGTTCAGGGTGCTAGTTAGCTAGTTAGGTGGAGGTATTCATATATGTGTATATATATATATTTCCTGATATTATTTATATTTATATTTCATTTGCTTCATTTCATTTCATTTAGTTTTATTTTATTTTCGTTGACTTTGTCTTTGTCTCTTGGTTGGTTTATCTCTTCATCTACCTACCTACCTACCTACCTACCTATTCACCATTGGATTTCACGCTCACAATTTCGCACTCAAAATCTAAGATTTCTCACCTCATGTTCCATCCATTTCAATCGACATGGTTCATTTGTTCATATCTTATATGTATGCACGTATGTGTACCTACCTCCTTGTGGGGTTATGGATTTTACACCGAGTTCATATAGTTACATATTTCCCATTCATTACATACCATTCCACCTACATAAGAATATCCACCCTAGTCTTCCACTATTTTCTCCTATTCCCAAATATATGGTCCCAAATCAACCAAATCTCAACCCAGCACTCGGATCCCAAGTCGTTTGCTTCGCCTGCGTCTGTGCCTGTGTTGGCCCAGGCGCAGCTCCAGATCCAGATCCAGGTGCACTCTCCGAATTTTGCGCCCCCCCACCTCCAAATTTAATCCCCAACTCCGGATTCCAGGTTCCAGCTCCAAATGCTCCAGGCATTCCTCCTACTCCCGGCAAGCCACCCACACCAACAACATTAACAGGTGTACTCTGCAAACTCGCTCTTTGTGGAACCGGCGCTTGAATTGGACTCAATTCTCTCCTCGGACTTGCTACTTCCTGGCCTTGACCTTGCATTTGAACTGCAATAAGTGGTTGCGGAGGTGGCGGCGCATGATGTACAACAGGCTGCGGATGATGTAAACTCAATGAACTCATCGGTGCCAATGGCATTGATAGATCCGCCTCCATTCTCCTACTCTCCTCTCTCCTTTCCGCTACAAACGCTTTACAACCATCTCTAAACCTTCCTACTATTTTTGCAAGATCGTTGTAAAACTTTCGTCCTCCATCCACGTTGTTGACTATTTCTTTATACTTGTAATAAGCCATTTCAAGTTTTTGTAATGCTTGTTCTCTCTCCCTCGTGCTTGTGTCTCCTGCTCTAGCTTTGATGAATGATGCATTCGCTTTCTGTAATTGTTGTAGAAGGTTTTCTTGTTCCTCTGATTCGGATTTGATGGACCCGAGATCCGCGTCATAGTTATGGGAGAGGCGCTTCTCGAAGAAATCTTCAAAATGTGCAGGAACAACAGGCGTGGAAGGGTATTCTCGTTCCAGACGAGCGGCTTCGCTTAAAATGCTATGATTAATATCATCTTTCTTTGCCTTTTCCCTTAGTGATTCGATTTTCCTCCTTCTTCTGCTTTCTAATCTTGAGATTTCGTTCAGAGAATTCCTAAGTTTCGATACTTCTCCTTCGAGATTTGGTGGTATGTTCACTCGTCGAGAGCTAGGGACAAAATTTCCAATATCGCGATCCGAACTAGTAAGAATCTGGAGAATAGATTCGTACTCGCGGAATTTTACCACAACAACTTGATCACTATTAGCTGCACTTTTGAAATAACCTTCAATTTCATCGACTTGTTTATATAACTTCGGAGATGCAGACCGAGAATCTAAACGAGTCCATCTATCACTTCCAAATTTCCTTAGTAAGCGATCATTTTCAGAGGCTTCAGATTGCAACAACTCTTTAGCCTCGAGAAATATAGCTTCATCTGATGCTTTAAGTTTTGCAGCATCGGAAAAGGATCGATTGATACGACCAATGGCATCTGCTTGACGAAGTTCTTCCGCATGTGAAAGGAGAGTAGGAGGAAGACCTAAAGGTTTTTCGAGGGCTTGCAAAGAGCCAGGAAGATTGAGGGAACGAAGGGTATCATGGATGCGGGTGGTTAGAATCTCAAGTTCGTCGATGATATTATTGTGAACAATTCTGTCGCGACGTTCTTCGTAAATACTAGCTGCCACATGAACGGCAAATGGTACAAGTTTAGAGAAGAGGGGTGGTCCAAATTCTTTATGATCCCCTAGAAAAGTCATGGGCTCCGAGATCTCTTTTGGGACCTTGGAGATTGCCATATTTGCTCGTTCAAGAACTTTGAGTTCGGTCTTGGGCGGTACAGGATCTAAAATGTTAGCTATAGTTCGGCGCGATGTATTTGGTTGTATATGTGGCAAGCCCCAAGCTCCATTAGCTCGCTACCCCCGAAAGTCGACTTTTTGCCAAATAGTCTGCCTCCACGGCAGTAGCCCCCGGAGGGTCAGCGGAGCGTCACCCAAGTGACTAAATACAGGAAAACTTACTAAGGTAAATTAAATCATTGTCTTTTTCGGCCCTTTTCAAATTTTCCGCTACCGCAAGCTTCAAGGCTTGTAATTGCGCCAGCACCACTTTATTGACAAATTTGGCTTCTTTCATTGCTTCATCAGCACAAACAAGACTATCCTTCAATCTTGCCACCTCCTCGCCATATTGTTTCTTCTCTAAACAATGACAAGCCATTCTATATTGTGCAGCAGCAGCAAAATGATGATGTTTAACTGATGAATGGTGTATCCACTCCGCACTTATAGCTTCACTCTTCATACCCCAGTCTCCTGCCTCTAAATATAAGTCTGAAACTTTCGCTGCTAGTTTCGCTACCACTCCATCTTTAAATCCGTCGTTTACAGCCTTTGCCCAAAAACATTCTTGGGCTTGTGCTAACATGAGATATTGAAGACACTCAAGTGTATTATCATCCATATCTTCAGGAGGAGTCGTGCGAAGTTCCGGTATGATTTCCCCTTTGAGATGTTTTAAAACTCCCGCTGCAAGAGAAAAGTTATTACAAGCAGCTTTCAAACCATCGGAAGTTGCTCTATTCGCAGACATGGCGAGTTGAGAGTAGAGTGCCGCGAGGTTGAACATTATATTTGCGAGTTCGAATTTGAGATTATTTTGGACGATAGGTCTTTCGGCGTTGTAACCTAGAGCTACCTTCCATGAGAATTCCACTCCGATCTGACATGATGAGTTAGTATGTATATGTGGAAAAGTGGCAGGTTAACATACGTCTATAGGGAATTTACCCCCCAACCAGGAAAGTTGCCCCGCATATGCTGATATCTTCCTTATCCCACTGGTATGAGGTTCTTGAACATGTATTGCATCTCTTCGTAAAGCATCAATGACCTCCAGGTCTTGCCTGAACATATCCGGATGTTGATCATATTTGGTGGATATGTATTGCTTTATAGCATCTGATAATGATAGATTGGTAGCCTTTCGAAATGGCAGAAAGAGGATATTACTATTTATTTATAGATTAGCTTTTGATTTTTGTGAGAATAGGATAATTAGGGAGAGAGCCTACTTGCCTAGACATGATGAATTTCAATAGACTTATGTTTGTCTATTATTTGCGAGGGACATTCTTCTTGACATTGAACTTCTCCATGTAAATAATGCGGGCGCATTTTGATAGCTAGCTGCAGGTGGGAGCACCGGTGGAGGGACTGGGATCAATAAGGCAGAAATTGAGGCTACAAGGAAAGGCGGGCTGAAAGGGCAGAATCAAGCAACATTTTATTTTTTGAAGCTGTACAAAGAGAGAGGGACGGATCATGAAGGGTATCTGACCGTTGAGCTGATTGACTCCAAATTGATGTCCACTCGCTATTGTATGTAACCTACAGTATGATTTTCAATCATGTGAGATCAATCTATCTCTAATGTTTGATGCTGCATGGGTTCAGCATTTGTGCCACTGAAGAGTGAGACTTCCTTCTCCCCCGTTGAAGCTGTACTCTGTACCTCCAGAATGTACAGAATCGTGCATGATGGACCAGCCAGACTTGCTTGTACATGGAGAATAAACTAATAAGATAACATAACACACTTTGGTACTCAATGAAGGCTGTGCATTTCACCTTGGCCATCAATCAGAGCAATAGGTACTGATGAACCACTTGCTATTTACCCCATACCATTCATTATACCTAACAGTCCCAGATGCACACCCCCTTTCTTGACTCACGTCCTCGGTACAGAATCTAGATTAGCACAGTCTCACCCCTTATCCCTTATTCAAGCCATTCCCGAAGCCATCTTCCAGGCCTCGACTGGTGGACTCCACATCTTCCGTAGAAAATTCGGAGAGAAATTACTCTCCCAATTTATGTGGCAAATAACCGTAGTGGCACTGTGCTACGAGTACCAATTTCCAAGAGCACACACGCATGATTGACGTTTTATGTTTCAATTTTCGAACCATCCCAAAAGATCATCCGGATCCTACGTAAGTGATCTATGTTGAAACTTCGATCGGTCCGTTGCCTTGCGATATTTTTCTGAACATCGAGACTTTAAAGTAACGCCGGAGGAAGATCTTGGCTTACTTTGAACACTTTTGTCTCGGGAGGTTGGCTCGAGGTTGGAGGTTGGTGTGATGACGCTCATGTTGGTAGAGAAAATAGACCAGAGCAAGGAATGTGGATAATTTTGGAGAGAAGATTGATGTGATCATGCTTCAATATTACGCATTACTTGATTGATGAAAGCATTGGTTGGAATGATATGCCCCTATATGATTGATTGATGATCTTTACAGGTTGAATGGCCGAGATCCCTTGGAGGTTTGGCCATTTTGTTATCTAAAGTGCTTATTCCATAGAAGAGAAAATGCCGAAGTTCATTCGGGGGGTGAAGGAATGTTTAACTTTTCTTCTCTCCCGGAACCTAATCATCAACCTGAGCTCGTCATGTATGAGGAAACTTCATTGCATCAATCATCTACAATTTATTCATAATCACACATATACTCTGTAAGGTTATATCACATATCACATATCACATATCACATATCACATTAAAACTTCCCATCTTAGGATTTACTACCTTCAAGTCTCATCTCCAATCTATAAATAAAGACTCATGCCGTCTTGTGTTCCAGCCGGTTGTGTTCCACGCACTTCGAGACACAATTCTCCGTCGACATTCGCTGTATTCCAGATCTACCCAATTCCCATCCCCACTGTCCGCGTACCCTTCCTTCACCTCCACCGCATATTTCTCACTTTCCTGGCACATTCTCCCGGCACTAAAAGAGACAGTTGGAACTTTATCGAGAGTTGATAATCAAGAATATCCTGGACGATGCTACCTACTCTGTGCTGTAGTACGCAAGTCGAAAGACACCAACAGGTTTAATGGCATGTTAAATCTCAGAGCGGGACTACTAAATCCTGGAGTTGTCACTATCTTGGTTATTCTATTATCAATGAAATGTTGACATGTTGACATGTTGGTTTGTGAAATGTTTCCCCAGCGCAGTAAGTGAATGAAGATAAGGATGGAAGACTGTGAAGAAAGGAGACGCAAGGAAAGGTTGGTAGATGAGTAAGTTCGTCGTTACTACTGACTCAAATATTACCAAAGTCAAGATTATCCAGATTCATGATGCATGATCCTTCATTATTTTCCCTTGGTCCTAGTGACAGTGCTAGATACTACTGAAACAAGGTTCATCTCTCGTCTCTCGTCTCTCGTCTCTCATCTCTCGTCTCCATCGTTCCCCGTAAATGTTTAGGGTAGCTGCATATCGCTGCATATCGAAATCTCAGGCTTATCTATCTTAGCTCGACTTTCCTTCTTTTTTGGGCTTGGAGTGGATTTCATTCTTAAATCTATCCTACCCTACTGACCCTACTGACCCTACTGACCCTACTTACCCATCAACCTTCTCCTCTATCTCTCGTTTCCCCTTCCTGCAACTATCTCTCTTTGATTCTTGTGCTTACCTCGTCGTCATATTTCTTCTCAAGAAGAACGACTGTCGTTACATCTCTCGTTCTTTTACCTCTCACTCCCCTCGACTCTCCTCAACTTCTTCCCATTACCCCCTCTCGCCACTCTTTTCCATCAACGTCATAGCAAAACTGTGTGACTGATTTGCACAAGTTTCCATCTCCCACATTCACCATGGGTATGATGGGTACCGGTACCTCAATATCACCTAATAGGTTAATTAATCCTCGAAGTCCTTTCACTCGAATCGCCATATTCACATCCATTTGCCTCGCAATCATCTTTCTCACCGGAAGACCTACACAAGAAAGATTTCATCAAATTCAATCAAAACTTTCTCCAAGTTCACAGGAAATCCTTACCACCCAAAATGGCTCTCCAGATTGTGCCGTCAATTCAACCCATCTACGCGAATTAAAAGAAAAATACGGTCTGGATGACAAAATTGAATATGCTTCCAGACAAGTTAGATATCATCGACAAGATATTGAACGAAAATCCATTACTAAACTCAACGATGACTTATTCCCTCGATACTTCGATACAATCAACATTGAAAAAGGGTTGAAACCTACCACGAAGTGCTTGAAGCCACTCGATGTACCCGTCACAAAATCTGCCATTCCTGCAGATGTAAACGCCACTGAATTCCTTTTCGGTATTTCAACCACCTACAAGAGAATCACAGATCCAAAAATCAATCCCATGCTAGACTGGTCACATTGGTTGACGGATGGTCATGGAAATTCAAATGGAGGAGGATTGATCTTACGACTGGTTGATGCTTCGGATAAGGAAATCAATGAAATTAAGAAGATGTTGAAAGCATATGGAATCGACGCGAAAGTTTACACCGCCGATAGTAAAATCGAAATGGCCGAACGATACTTTTCCCTCCTACCAGCTTTATATAATGACAGCTCTAGAAAACATCGAAAATGGTTGGTCATGTGCGATGACGATACATTTTTTCCAAACATGGATGCTCTCATCAAGAAAATGGCAACATATGATGCCAGTGAAGATTTATACATTGGAAACCTTTCCGAAGATGTCGGTAGTCTTGCACGTCATGGAAGTCAAGCTTATGGTGGGGCTGGAGTTTTCTTCTCTATCCCGTTGGCCGCAACAATCACCGATCTTTTCCCTCAATGCAGTACCAAACAAAAAGTCGAAGAAGCAAATTCAGGTTGGGGTTCTCAAGGAGATATTCTTCTCCGAAAATGTGTATACGAAAACACCGAAGTCCGTCTGACTGTCCTTCATGATATTTGGCAACTGGATATTGTTGGTGACCCATCTGGTTTCTATGAATCTGGTATCCGACCACTTTCTCTTCATCATTTCAAGGGAGGAATGTGGCATGAAGCTCAAGTTTATGAATCCACTAAGATTCAACAAGTTTGTGGTGAGGATTGCTTCCTTCAAAGATTCCAAACTAAAGATGATTTCATCTTGACGAATGGTTGGTCAATTGCGCATTATCCAAAGGGTATTGATTTCAATCTGCACCAAATGGAGAGAACATTCAATGCATTAGGTGATGATGGTACAGGATGGAACCTTGATTTTATGTTTGGACCTCAACGAATTCCTCTTCGTGAAACCGGACGCAAAGGTTCATGGGATTTAGCAGAAGCGGAATTAAAAGCCGATGGAACGGTTAGACAAACATATATTCGAAAGAAGGATGATTGGAGGTGGAAAGATCGTAAGGACGGAAAGAGAATGTATGATGTTGATGGTGTGTTTGAATTGATATGGACTTTGTGAGAGTGTAGCTGGATATAATCAAGGAAATAATGTTAATGGATTGAGTGGAAAGAGGAATGGAGGAACTGATTGATGACTTATTTATACATTCTATGCCGAAAGGGGCGTTTCTGGCTCTTTGCTCTAGGGACGGATGATCCATAATCCCTTTTTTGTACACACCTTTTGGCGAATGGAATGGATGGGTAAATTGAAATCAGCTGGACTGGACTGAACTGACTGGACTGGAGAACAGGACCAGAATGCATAAATGGTATGGCGTTAGGTTGATATGATATATAAATGGAAGCATGGGAATAAAAGCTTGAGGGTTGAAGTTTACCTAGTACGAGTACTAGTACTTAGATGAGAAGTAGGCAATGAAAAGTTGGTCGTATGTATATATTATATTGTTCTTTCGTTGTATATATAGATAGAATAGATATGATATGATGTTGTTTGTTAGTGTATAATATCAATAGTGTTTGATAGGCACCTATTTACCTATATACCTTGGTGGTTAATTATAGTGAATGGTTCTTTTATTATTTGAGCGTGAAATGTTAAGTGAGAGGGGAATATCAAGATTTCAGTTTTCTTTTCTTTTATTTTATTTTCTTTTCGAAGGAGAGGAGGGAAGGGGAAGGAGAAAGAGAAGGAGATGTATATGGGGTGAGTGGTGGCTTTAGGATGTAAGGTAGGGAGTAGGATATGGGGAGTAGAGTATAAGTATCAAGTTAGATTAGATTAGATTTGGATTAGTTTTGGTTTTGGCTTTGGGTTTAGCAGTGGTATATTGAATATTATTCTGATTTCTGATTTCTGAGTTGTGGGTAGATTGCAATTGGTGAGGGAAATGAAGGAGTGGAGTGGAGAGTGGAGAGTGGAGGAAGGTGGTAGGGAAGGAGGAGGAGGAGGATGGATGGATGGAGGATGGAGGATGAGGATGGAGGGATGAGGATGGATGGAGGATGGATGGGGATGGAAGAATGAAGATGAAGGATGGATGGATGGAGAAAGGAAAGAAGGGAGGGGAGGAATGGAATGGAAGGAAGGAAGGAGGAATGAGAAGATGAATGGATGGGATGGAGGAATGAAGAATGAAGGAGGAGGTGGTAGATGGAAGGGAGGAAGGAAGTATGAGGGAGGGAATAGGTGAGTAAGTACTGGCTCTTATTCTACTTGGTGTATTGGGGACCTCGCTAAAGGAGGTTCATATTGAAATGAGTGGTTTCTAGTGTTTGTTACTCTACTTATCTGGTGGGTATTTTGTATAGGAGTGAGTGAGTGAGTAAGTGAGTGAGTGGATGAGGTTGGTCACTACTACCTAGGTACTATCTAATCTGAAATGTTAGGTTAGATAGGTAGGTATGGATACAATATGTTGTCATCTACTCCGTACTAGGGGAATATATAAGTTCTCATCACATTCGTTTCTCCATGTTCCACCCCGATTCTATCGCGGTATCGTCCATCACATATTCACTTCAACCTTCCATCTATAAGTATAGGTATATATTTTATCCCTTCAACCATTCATTCTACATCACCCTCCCTCATCACCACTTCCCCTCCTCATTCCTTCTTCCCCTCCCACCAAAATAATTTCTCTCCTAAAATCCACTTATTCACATTTACACCCACAAATCCTTTCAATTTCTCTTTAACTTTCTTTTCAGGTGTTTTTCCTTTCCCTTTAGATTTTTTACTTCCCACAGCCTTTTGTTGAGGAATCGCTGAACTGAGACTTTTAATTGTAGCTCTAACTCTCGTGGAACTAATTTCTTCTCCTTCAAGACCAGACGACATGTATATTCTCTTTTCACTTATCCATTCACTTTTTCCTCCTAAAGTAGGGAGTTGAGTAGGGAGTGATGAGAGATAGGTGTCTTGATCCGAGAGGGTAAGGGAATTTTCTGAACGATATGTGACCCGTAATTTGTGGTTTGAGAGAAAGGGTATTAAAGGGCTGAGATCGTGAGTTGGTGGGTAATATTTGGGGTTTAGAACTCGAATTAGAGTATCATAGCCGGTACAGTGGATGTGGGTTGTTCCCTTGGGATAGATAGAGGATGCTTCGATGGCGGCGGATTTAGAGTGGAAGTAGGGCAGGGAGGTTAGAGCTATATCTATGTCGAATTGTGGTGAGTTGAAAGGGATCTGGGTTTGAGATGAAGGAAATGAGGATGTTGTGGATTGTGCTTCGGAATCAGAGTCAGAAGTGGAATCTGATTCTATATCTTTGGCGGATTCTTCATCTCCAGATTCATTTCTCTCTTCAGACACATTTGTAGATTTACCATCAATCTCGCTCTTAACTTGCCTCTTCGTTTGATAACTCGAACGAGGATATAACCAAGTACTCAAAAGATCAGTAGCAAAACATTCCATCCCAACTAATCGCTCTTCCAAACTTGCCCCGCTGATCTTTTTATCTGCATTTTGTGTACTGAGTAATAATAATAATCGAGCTTTTGTGTGTCTTAAGTCGGATGTGTAGTGATCATGTAGAGCGGAGAGACAAATGTGTGCGTGTGCAAGGGTAGGTGGATTGAAGGAGGAGTCAAGGATATAAAGGGTTTGAGGCGAACTGGATTCGGAGTGGTTTTGGTTTGAGTCATTTAAAGGTTCGTCTTTGTTTGTATTGTTAGAAGTAGAGTATAATGGCCCTCTATAGGGATCGTACGTGTTGAAGGTTATTGAAGTGAGGTTTTTAGGTGTTGGAGAAGTGGAAGGAATTGATATGGGTGGAGAGAGGGAGCGGAGGATACGGAAGGTTGAGGAGGAGGAGAGGAAGGATTGTAAATTGCTGGTGTAGAATGCAAGGCGGGTGAGAGAGGACGCCATTGTTGAGTCTCCATCTGAGGAATAGGGTAAAGACATATGGTTTCTCTTGTATCGCCCTGGCGCGATAAATTATATTAAAAAAGCTTATCGATGTTGATATTATGAATATAAGGCTGTGATATCCACAATCAGCCAATCTGAAAATCGAATCTAATTGGTCATTCTCTGCAAGGCTGACAAAATATGTTGTCACGCACGGAAAGAAATGGTGACATCATTGAAACGTTGTACTTAACTTCTTCACGGCAACATCCTCACTTCAAATTCTTATCTTCGATAATAATTCGAGGCAAAGGATCGTCAAGATGGTTCTGGTAGATAATTGGATGCCTCCATCGAGGGAAAATTGGGAATTGATTGTTTGGGGGTTTCAATGGTTTCCTCTGGTTTGTAATATCTGCTCTTCAACCTCCTTCCTCTCCACCCCAAAAGGCTCACATTCCTCGTACCTCTACTATTCCCAGAATCTCCATCCATGCCTCAAACCTCACAGTCCACACAGAGTATAGCGGTACTAATTCTCCTCCAAATAGTTTACAATCTTTCAATGGATCCAACCATGGTACGGAGCAGGCAAGACTTCATCAAATAGTCGATTCAATATACCAGGGAAAATAGCTTGGATTACAATGGAAATGCCGGGATTGTTGACCATGCTTTATGTTATGTATACATTGCCTAATGAGGTAGGATTGAAGGAGTTGCCTTGGGAGAATAAATTAATGGCTGGGCTTTATGTGAGTTTTCTTTCTTATTCTGGGAAAGGTGGAGTGACTGAAGTGGTTGGAGGGGTCGGAGAGGCTGTAGGGCTAGAGAATGTGTTGGTAGAGGAAAATGTATCAACGTGTCAAATCATTGCCTAGACTGGCTGTTATATTCGTTTGGGAGCAGCCGATGTGCGCGGTTTGAGACTGGCTATGATTGGTGGTAGATGGAGAAACAAGTTTGTTTAAAGGACTCAATTGAGTTTGAGCTAACTTATTTCAAAATCTAGATCATACATTACCTTAATCGTGCTATTATAGCACCTCTTATTTCTCCTTCTATGTCACCGATTCATGTTATTGTTTGGCTTGCGGCAATTGCCTTTCAGATCACCAATGCTACATCTTTGGGGTGCTACTTTGCTGGTTATGGTCCTGTTACAAGAGCTGATTGGTAATATATCTCTTTACCCGCTCTCATCCTGTTCTTAACACGACGAGATATATACGCGTGGAATACATGTGGCATTCCGATTCTCACAGCTGCTAACCTGTTTACTTATAGGAAACCTGTATCAGGAAATCCATACGTAAATGGAGCAAGAATTGAATTAGGCATGATGATATTCTTTCTCGGTCTCATATCCAATATATTTCATGACGACGAACTACGAGAAATTAGACGTGCCGCACTTCGAAAACAAGCAACACAAAATGATTCTTCAACTGGGAAGAATAAAGGAAACAAAACAGTCGACAAAGTATACATGATACCCCAAAACGGACTTTTCAATTATATACTATACCCTCATTATTTTTGCGAATGGATCGAATGGGCTGGATTCTTCATAATGGCTGGAAGTGATTGCGTGCCTGCAAGAAATTTTCTTATAAATGAGGTGGCTACTATGTTACCAAGAGCTTTACAAGGGAAAGCATGGTATGTAAAGAGGTTTGGTAAAGAGAAGGTTGGGGGCAGGAAAGCAATATTGCCGGGGATTTTGTGAGTCAAGATTCGCCATAAGGATTATTTGTTGGGATGAGATTCTTGGGAAGTTCTACAGAGATTATAAACATATTCTAGAGAGATTCTAGATGAATTTACTTTAATTCCTAATTCTATTTCTATATTTCTTAGGATACTATCTGGGAAAGAGACGGGAAGAGAGAGGCGAGTAAGATGAATGTGGAAAGGAGATCTTGATTAAGACAAGAATAGTAACTAAGAATTGAGAACTGACCATGTATAGATAGACTAGAAGGATAAGCAGCATAAGTATATACATTAAGTTATATCATCCAGTTGATATATCTCACGATAGCCCCTGATGAAAAGAAGACATCAGCCAATAATGGACGATTATGTTTTAGCGAGAACTCCAAACCTGTTCAATTTCTTCAACATCCTCATTTGATTATTTGATGCATCACGATTCACGACTCATTGAACAACGTACACAGAAAGATTCGCAATCTCCGTTACAATAATTCTAGCTTCCCCATGGCAAATTTGAACAAAAGGCCAGAGGATTCTCAACCATTATATGTTATTTTATCTTTATATGGATGCATGAATTGAACTCCTCGGCAGTGGATGTTTGCTTTAAAATTCCAATTTAAGTAGAACGTATGCACTGACTTCAGACAAATGGTCACCACGCTATCGTATCCGATCTTCTGTCCGATGTCATATCCTTCTCATTCCTACCAAGATCATACGCACTTCTGTCAGGATCAATACTCGTACCAATCATTCAAATTCTATCTCAGGCATTTCCCTTGAAATTCTTGTTCTACGCTTCTTCTAAGGATATCCGTAGTCATTTCCAGAAGTGTGAGGCTGGAGGAAAACACGTTGTACACGTGATGACAAGGTCTACCCATGTGTCCTCGCATTTTCCCCTATAATTCATCTCAATTATAATTACAAGAAAACCACTTTTTCCTGCCGTTTTATTTGTCCCAGGAAACTTTATGTTATAGATGATTTGGAAAGTCTGGAGGATCTACGTCATTACGGCAGATGTACGAAGATTTCCCATGATTTCCGAAGTCGTCTCGTTTTTGATCGGATCTTCTTAAGGGTCTACGAATGTTATGCATTGATTTACACATGGGAGTTCCTGTCACAGTCTTTTTTTCATTTTGGGGACCAGCCATTTGGAATCCATAGTCTGATATGAGGCTTCTATTCTGATATAGTTGTTCATTTTTTCCAATCATCTCGTCCAGCAAGAACCTAGGTAGTAGACCCTGAAAAGAGGTATCTTCGTACGCCGGTGGCTAGATTACATGACATTACAAGGAAAAGAGTAGAAACGATCTCTTCAAGGTTTAAGTAGATCAATACTTTTACATGATGGTGGTTGGGAATGGGGAAAGTGGTTGGTGAAACGAGAATATATATCTCTTCGAGTCATTCCATTGAGGGTTATCTTCTCTCCTATCATACTTTACAATTCAATCATAATATACCAGTAACTGCACAAGCCCTTTTACTTTATTATATCTTCTAAAACAATCCATCATTACGTCTAAGTTTAAGGCACTTAAAAAACGTCCCTTTTACATCCTGCCCTATCACGATTTCCCTTCACCCCATTTAGACATTGATATCGAAAGTCTCAAGTCAACAATGTCAGGAGAAGGCACAGACCTTCCAATATACCGAAGCAGTAAAACTGTGGATGGTGATCATATAAAACCTCCTGGTTCTTCGCAATCATTAGTACCAGTACAATCTCCTTCTAGAGCATATCAAAAGGATACAGTAATGTGGTCTCCTCCTCTATCATCGCATCCTATCATGTCACCACATGATACTACCCCGCAACATCCTGTCTTCTCAACTGAAGATCTTGCAAGACCCGGTACAGGTTTAAGACGAAGACCATCATTACCACCTCCAAGAAGATATTCCGGTGGTGACTACGACACTAAACCTAGTTTCTCATCGGATACCGGACGAGCTCTTCGTGCGAGAGAAGAACTCTTTTATAGCGAGCGCGAAAGAGAAGGCTCTATGTCATCTCGCACTCGTGTTCGTGATGATCACCCTCATCCTGATTATCACGAACGTTCCCGTCCTCCACGTACCTATCGCAATGTCGTAGGGTGGGAAAGTGGTCCTCAGAAATCATATTTTGATGAGTCTTCACGAAGTGATCTTGGCAAAGAACGAGATGTAGAAAAAGGAATCAGAGAATCAGGTGCTGCACCTGAATGGGCTAGTGGTGAGAAGGTTAGAAGGAAGAGCACAGATGAGAGTATTGATGGGTATAATTACGACTCTCACAGAAGAGGTGGAATAAAGGGAACCATTGATTTGGAGAATTTATCACCAGAAGAAAGAGCAATAGTTATGAGATTACCATGGACACATTGGATGAATAGTAATTTCAAGAATCGTGAGTTTTTCTATCCTCTTTCCATCTACCACAAACATACTAATCACAAACTATAGATTTCGTAGCAACAGTCGGCGAATTCGTCGGCACAACTATGTTCCTCTTCTTCGCTTTCGCCGGTACTCAAGTAGCAAATATCGACAGTAACACAGTGAACACAACAACAGGTGCTGCAGCAGGATTTAACGTTTCAGTCGAACTCTATATTGCCATCATCTTTGGTTTTTCCCTCATGGTAAATGTATGGATTTTCTTCCGTATTTCCGGAGGACTCTTTAATCCAGCCGTAACCCTCGGTATGGTCCTCGTCGGTGCACTTCCTATCGCCCGCGCCATCTGTCTATTCTTTGCTCAAATCCTCGGAGGTATAACTGCCAGTGCTATGGTTCTTGGTCTCTTCCCTACAACATTCAATGTACGGACTACGCTTGCTGCTAGCACATCCACTGTACGTGGTGTTTTTATCGAGGCTATTTTGACAGCTGAACTGGTCTTTACAATTTTTATGTTGGCAAAGGAAAAACACAAGGCAACTTTTATTGCGCCGGTTGGCATTGGATTGGCATTGTTTATTGCGGAGATGGTGGGAGTTTTCTATACTGGAGGAAGTTTGAATCCGGCTAGAAGTTTTGGTCCTTGTGTTGTTAGTGGATCTTTTGATAAGGAACATTGGATTTATTGTAAGTTGTTTTCCCTTCTATTCCTTCAGGTCTCCTCACCCCTCATCTTCTCCCCTCTCCTCCATATCCGACCCCTATTCCCGTTTCTTCCTTCCTCACCCTACAACCCCCACTAACCATCATCTTCTCTAGGGATCGGTCCAATATTGGGTACATGCATCGCAGTATTCTTCTACAAATTCATCAAGATGCTCGAATACGAAATGGCCAATCCGGGTCAAGATGGTGATGCTAAGAATGATCCTACTCAGAATGAAAAGAAGAGAGAACAAATCTTAGAGGAGAGACAGAGGAGATATGAGAAGAGGTCTATGACTGGTGGTAGTGTGATGGGTAGTTTAAGACCGGGAAGTAGAATGAGTTAGGCGAGGGTGTTTTTTATATTTTCGGAGTAGAGTGGTGTCGAAAGAGGTAGAAGATGATGCGAATGGATGATGAGGAGAGGAGAGAGCAGATTGAAAAGTTATTGAAGTGAGGACGGGGATAATGAGGAGACTTGTCTTGTCTTGTCTGATGTTACTAATCCGTTTATCCTCATCGTCGCTTTTGCAAGTTTTTCCTTCTTCATATACCGATTGCTTGCTTGCTTGCTTGTTTATATACAGTTCAGTACAGTACTTCATTTACTTTTTACTTTTTAACTTTTTACTTTGGTTTTGGCTTTGGCTTTGGCTCAGCTTTGCTTGGTTTAGCTTAGCTTAGCTTTACAGCCAGCACGGAAAAAATAGACAAAGAAGAAGGAAAGGACTAAGGACTAAAGGAAGGAATTAATGAGTTATGGTTATGCTCACGCTTAGGTTTATGACCCCGGGAAGAGTTAATTGTTTATATATATATTATATTAAAAATGATTTAAATAGATTTTTTTACTTAGAATTACTAGCTAGTTAATTAGTATTTAATAATACTGATGAATTATAATAAATATCAATTTATATTATATATTATATATATTTAACTAGCATTTATACTCTATTTTGATAGTAAAACTTTTAATTTTTAAAATCAAAACTTGAGTTGTATTATTATATCTTTATATTTATATATTTATATATTTAAAAAAAAAAAAAATAAAATAAGATAAAATATATATTAATTATAACTTATTTATATTTATATTTATTTATAAATTATATTTAGATATATTTATATAAAGTTTTAAAACTTAAAGATATATATTTAATCAATCAATTAAAAATAAAAAAATTATATTATATTATATCAAGTTTAAATATTAAGAAAGAAATTAAATAAATATATATTAGATTATTAAAAAAGCATATACATATATACAATCAAAATCTAATATCTTTTCTTTAAAATATTTATATATGTACAGTACAATAAATACACTATAATACAAATATAAACAAATATCTCATCTCGTGTATTCATCTTATGCATATCAATTCTTCTCATCTCTAGGTATCACATCTTCTCATTTCAATTCCCATCCACCACTCAACCATACCTACATCCAATCACCACCACCACACATTTCTTCCCTTCCCATATTCTTTCCATTCTCCTCCACCCAATCTCAATGATTATATATAGTAAGCAGATTCTCAGCTCAAGAAGCAGTATTCACAACCTTCAAAACATCATATCTCCGATTTCCGAGTACCTTCCTTTCTTACTTAATCCCATCCATTCTTCTCTTCATGTTTGTGTACCCTCCCCTATATATGCAATGCACCACATCTTGCTTACGCCATAACTCCTCTTGAAAAAAGAAAATATCCCATCCCTTTCCATGCAGTATGCATCAAAATTCCCGCCAGCATCTTAAAACAAAACTAAACCACAACGGTTCAGAATCCCATCCACCCTCTCATAACATACCCCTATCTTTGCTTCTTCCAAGCTTAAAGCTCCACTGGGCAAATAATATAAAACCCGAATGGGAAAAGGTGAACACGAAATCATAATAACATAATCCATCATAACCTACACTTCTTTCCACAAGAGGAGTTCTGATCTTCGCAAGAGGCTGTGATTGAATCTCAATCGTCCCTCACATTTGCTTCATCCCTCATCGGATTCTTCGCTGTTCAGGATAAAAGAGTGGTGCTTTAGTAATTGTTACTTTTCCATGATGAATCTCATTCCTGTTCCGGAACCAACCTCACGATTCTTTTCGTTGGCCATCAAATGAATAACGGACGTCGAGAAAAGGAGAGCCATGCAGTTTCAATTCCCAGAAAATATCACCTCAAATCAGAGGTTTACCAGCCAACATCACATAATCTCATGCCTCCATCGAAACTTTCTTGGCAGTATCTGTGCTACCAACACTTGCGTTGGTACCTCTTCTACCATGACTACCCATCCCTGCCAACTTTGTCTTTGGTTTTTTCCTCACCATTGTAAGACCTTCATCACTATCCGAATCATCAATATCCGCATTCATACTGTTATCACCATCACCATTATACCCCTCCTCATCCGTATCTTCATAAGGGTGAGTATTGACGGGATGAATAGCAACATGATCGTCCGAAATTGTTAAAGTTTCGTTATCCGAAGATTGTTTAGAAAATATAGGTGTGATTGTCTCGGTGGTATCGTAGATGGTATGCGTTGGACACGTGCCAGGGTCTTGAAGCATATCACCCTCTGGATCAGCAGATACAGAGGATGAGCCAGATACTAAAGCAGGTAATGAAGGGACCGATGGGAAAATTTGTTCTTGTGAACCAAGAGCCACCGAGGATATAGGCGAATTGACATCAGACGGGGAGGTTATATCACCGACATCACCTGGCGATATGAGACTTGTCGAGTTGACCGAGCTGCACGACCGAGCACGTTTGGCAGCGTCCTCTTGTTTTTGAGCGAAAATTTTATCATCGGGTGATGTCGGACAATTTTTCAAAGGAGCAGTTTCTAATTTGAGGTTCGAGCTGTGAAACTCAAGTCTTTTTACATTTGCATCGGCTTCGATCCTTCTTCGTCGATCAAGTTGTTCTTGAGCTCTTTGAAATGATTCAGGTGTGCTCGCGCCATATATTCTCGGTGGAGGTGTTCTTCCTTCCGGATTTCGATTGGCTGTGGCGGGTCTATCTTCAAGGATTGACGCAGCATATTGGGTACTCATGACGTTAGGCGTCGATGCTGAGGAAACCGGTTGGTGCTTGTCAAAAAGGTAAGGTTGGAAGAACAAGGGTGAGGGTAATGGCCTGTCAAAATAAGCGTTAATTGGACTAGTCTCGGAGGAATGGATTGAGCGGGAATGTCCGAAAAGTCCAGGGGCGAGCGCAGGACTCATTGCGACGCTGGCGGATGCATGCTTGTCTTCCGCATTAAAGAGAGCCCGGTCAACAGATCTTGCCCTCGATGATGCGCTTTCATCAATCTCAATCAAGGATTCTCGACCTCTAGGATTCCATAAATGTCCTCCAAATATTTGCCCCATGTGATCCGTAAAAGGACCTGGCGTTCTTGGACATTCTTCCGCAGGGGGGCTTCCAGAAAATGCGTGATTTACCGATCTCGAATATGAGTGACCTCGATGAACGACCGTCGCAATCGATGGCGTCCCCGAGATAGCGCGTTCCGGTGGACCTGGTCTTGCATCAAAATTTGATGATGCCAAAGAGGATCCAGAACGTTGGGGGGTTGCTCCTACCGAGGAAGAAAGGGTAAAGTCCTGCTGAAATGGATCGCACGGTACCGCATCAGGGCTAGCCGTTTGACTCTGAGCTAAAGGGTGCTCCGTTGATTCTTTATGGTGATCATTGTGAGAGTCGCCATTAGATGAAAAGTATTCATCTCCACGAAGACTGGCTCGACGAACCATCTCGCGCAAAATAGGAGTAAATGGTGGGGCATGGGTGGGATTTTCGGCACCTGAACTTGTGTTTGTAGCATTGCTTGTAGCCCTCTTGCGGGATCCTTCATGCTTATCATTTCTCATCACACTTGTGACTTTGCCTAAAGTCTTCTTCAAGGTCGACCGGGCGCGCTCCAAAAACGTAATAGGTACAACGGCACGTTCCAATTCGCTCTTATCAACTTCGATCCTGCGTCCTGCTGTCTTGCGTGATGGGTCTGTATCGTCAAGCCAACCAATGATATTCTCAATGCCTTTGATAGTCCATGGATGTCGCTTGACTTCCCTAAGTTTGATCCGCTCGGCGGGGTCTTTGATCAACATTCTCCTGAGTAAATCGTATAGTTCATCATCGATCTCTTCGTAAGACAGATCCCCTTCATCCCTATACGGCCCGTCCCATGGCCCCATCCTTCTGCTAAAGTGTGAGGTTGGATTACCTGGATCGACAGCCTTTAATCTTTTTCTAGGAATATAGACATCTTCTTTTGCGATGGCCTTGAATAATTGGTATTCATCCTCTGCCATAAATGGAATGCGGGCATATATCAGGCAATAGAGAGTGATCCCCAAAGACCATACATCAATTTGTTCTGTGATCCTTGGTTGTTCGATATCTATGTCGGTATAACACAATTCGGGAGCGAAGAAAGCAGGTGTTCCAACAGTCTTGGCCAACTCCAGATCATCATCGAAGTCGGTCGCGTCAGCTTCGGAAATATTCTCTTCTGTTTCTCCTTCTCTAATGGGTCGACCGAAATATGATACACCAAAATCGGAGATTTTGACGCGGTGATCCCTTGTCCACAGCAGATTAGCAGGCTTGATATCTCGGTGAACGATACCTTCGTAATGTAGATACTCCAATCCCAGAACGGTGTCTCGAAAAGCCGATCTAGCTTGATCCAAAGTAAAGCATGGAACATAGGAGAAATCGTCCTCGAAAGCATCATGTTGTGTCATGTCATCTATTGAAGACATGTGAGAAATAATACTGTCGGCCATACTAGGAGATCTCTCCCGATACAGTGGATCTTCCGCGTAAGACCCGTACATTGTGCCTTCCAAAGCCATAGCCGAAGTACGTGAAACATACGAGCCGGGTGCATCCTCTTCATTGTCACTATCTATTGGTCCGATGTCATAGTCTACCGGTCCCGGTAAGGGTGTGGGGGCACGGGAACTTTGTGCAGTCGGTGCTCTAGATGTGGCTCGAGAGCTTTTGATAGATCCAGGGGCTGATCGGACAAGGGAAGTGTGCGATAAGGATACGTAGGATTCTCTCGTAGTAACTCGCGACAGAGGCGCTAACTCGGAACGATCTTCTTCTTCTTTATCATCATCCCCATGTTCCAAACTCCAAAACTCTCCATTTCCTTGAAACTGTAAAAGCTTTGCTCTCTTCATCTCTTTCCGTTGTCGCCGACGTTTGAGAGTCTCGAAGTATGCCTCGTCATTTCCCTGATCGTCCTCACCCCTAATTTCTCTTTCAATTCTCCGCCTCTCATATAGAGATATCTTTCGAACTCCCTTTCGACGCCATACTATTTCTCCTAATTCGACGTGCTCAAGAACCATGTATATCTTTTTCAACTCCGGGTCATCAATAACTTCCAGTAGACCGACAACATTGGGGTGACGAATTTTCTTGAGGATGGCAATCTCTCTCTTAGTTTTGTCCTCGGGAGAAACGGTAACCCTCCCAAGCCTTCTTTTCTTTGAAAACCTTTGAATAATCTTGATGGCGACATAATCTTGAGTTTCAAGGCTCCGGGCCAATTTTACTTTTCCATGTACGCCTCTCCCGATTTCATCGATAATCTCATATTGATTGATGAGTTTCCTTCCGGTGATGAAATCTTGTTCGACTTGTGCTTTGTGAGTTCTGCGGTAAGAAGAAATAAGTTAGTGAGTCAGTAGCCAATAGTTTGTCAAAGTGGCGAGGCTAAGCAAATGGATGTGTTGATAACCGGTCGATACTTGCCAAGGTAGTACAAGTTGTAGATACCCAATGATAAGCTTCGCAGACCAAAGTGAAGAAGAAATCTCGATATAAATGAAGTGCGCAAGGAGAGAGGATAACTTACTCTCTTACTCTATGCATCTGCAAAGGATGAAGATAAGGACTCGAATGGGGAGTTCCATGGTCGAAAAATGGTAGAGATTGACGATGTAAATTGGAAGGACTAAATAGACCTGGACTCGAAGATGGAGTGCTTCCCGCAGAGTTTCTTGGAAATGTTGTTGGATCCATTGTTGTATGGTTGTGATGGTGGTGGTGGTGAAAGCACGTCGAGTGCAGACATCTTTGGTGGTCAAGTTTCTGGCAATGTTTGCCCCAGTTAAAACCAAATATGAGTGAAAAGGTTATCAGCAAGCCATGATGAATTGTTGTATAATTTTGTTGTAAGTGAGGCAGTGGAAGGTGTTTATTTGTTCTTCGTTGTTGGGAGGTGGTGAGGTGAAATGAGGTGAGGGGAGGCAGTGATGGAGGTCAATGTATTCGGCCTTTCTTGATAGTCGTTGTTGTAAGTGTAGGTGGTAAGTTCTTATTAGTCCCGGCTGGGTTAGAGGTCGTCTGGCTCTTTTTAGTTTGATTTATTGCGGGTTGAGGGTTAAAAAAAGGTGGTAAGGTCAATTTTGGTAAAGTGTGAGATGATAGATAGATGGTGGAGAAAGAAACCAAATTGTGATGGGTTGTCGGTTGTCTGTGCTTCCTATCTCTCTCTCAGCAAAACATAATAATCAATAATCGATTTATTATTCGAGTGATTGATTGACTGACTGACTGACTGACTGATATAGAAAATTGAAAAATAGGTATAGCGTCCTCTTTTCTTCTGACTCTCTCTCTCTCTCTCTCTCTGGTGTTTGGGTGTTCCGGTTGAATAGTGGGTGAAGTGAAGTAGGAATAATGAAAATGGAATAAATAAATTAAATTAAATGGATTAATGAATTAATGAATTAATTAACTGGGGAACTCGAGGTGGACAAGACACTAGTAATAGCTAGTTCTACTAATGAATATCTGTTTGTACCCAGTCAGATTCTTCCGCTGGCTGTTACTAAGATCAGGCTCGTACCGTATGCTTCTTAGGTTGATCTGGATTTGATTCTAGAGATAGTAACCTTATGTGGGTGGCACTGGAGCGAATGGTACTGATCAAGCAATTGATTCTATCTGTCTAACCTCTATCTGTATCTTTGGATTGGAATCAGTGGCATCAATGAGGGACTCGTCAAAAGATATTCCATTGAAACCATGAAAATTACGGAGTAAAGACAAAGAAAGTAGAAAAGATGTCGATTTACTCTTTGTGTCTTTTGATCTCTTGTCGCCGGGGTGGAGATTTTTTGAAGAAGCCTTGGGCTTGTGGGCGTCCTTGATGGTTGTTTCGAAAGGTTTGATACTTGCTTGTGATGCATCATTCAATACAACTTTGTTAGAGAGAAGAGTTATTACTAACGCAAAGAGCGCATGAAAACTATAGCAAATCTGATATGAGTATCACTTCAGATCAACCCATGGAGTTGACTCGATTACCCTAGTCTCAATTCGATTTTATGTGTGTATGTATGTATGTATGTGCATCTTGCATCTTGCATGTCGTTGTGAATCCATAGGAGAAGTTCTGAAGCATGCCTTTTACCTATAAGAGCTAATGAGGGGATAGATCAAAAAATAATGATATTCAAACACTTCCCCGAAATCAACCAATAGAAAGTTTATCCTATGCGAGGAATATATAGTATTGATCTGCTCCTAAATCAGGTTATTAATCAACTCAGCCCGGATATGCCCCCTTGGCAACTCGAAAGAAGAGAGAGAGATGTCAAGCCGTGGCTGAATATTCGAGTCTATTCGAGTCTATTCGAGTCTATTCAACGGCACCAAAAATGATTCAATTTTCAACACAAATAAAGCCTTCCCATCCCAAATGTTTCAACAAAAAACGGTTGAAGGAAAAGAAGCTATTCGTAAATGTTTCAAGATAAGGGATTTCCATTACTTTCTTTCAGATTTGCCTCTTACTGCCTTATCTAGTTACTTAATTTCACTTCTTTTCCGTTTGCGGCCTTGGCGAAGAGAGAGCTGGCGTACAATTCGACTTGTCGACATGCTGCATGATGCAAGAAATAATGGAGTCCCTCTTCTTTTCTCCCCTCCTATCGATCTTTCCAACCGCTTGAAATTCCATATCCAGACTCCCACTCCATTTGTCCAAGAAGAAAATATGATCAAATATATGACAGACTATTTCTTTACAAGCCTTATTGACTGCTGCACATGTGGGAAAAAAGGTACGGTACCAAACTTTTCCTTCATCATCACGATGTACTTCCATGCTTCATGTTTTCCCATTCAGCCATATACTATAATATTGAAAAGCTCAACAGATATCTATCCGTAATACAAACTATCAATACACCACAGCGACATACCGGCACCATTACAAATGAATTTATCTTACAGCCGCAGTAAGACGCCAAAAAAACCTTTTATTAACCTTGGAATTTTGCCCGATCCTTTATCTATAGAGCTTAAGCAGGAATCAGGCTGTCGTGCAACCCTCTTCGAAGACGGCAATTCAGATACCTTACCTCTTTAAGCCATTCTCTCATCTATGGGACTCTTTGATGATGCGGAGAAGGGCTGGCAATTGGTCAAATGTACCTGTATGATATATAAAGTTAAGTTTTCTTCTTTTGGAGTATTTCCCATGCCACCATTCTTCAATTAACCAACCATTCATCGATAACTCCAATCACTACTTCTTTTCGGACAATACTCCGTATCCTATCAGAACGAGATGTTGGATCACTTACTAACTTTCTTTCAAGTGCTTACGGACTGAAAATTCCAAATTGGCGCGATGCATACAGAATAACACAAGGCAAATAAGCCACACCAGTTTCGTCGGGCACAACCATCACTCCTTTGAGTTACGAAGATTTCCAAAGGTTTCATTGCCGTGCTTGAGAATGAGACTATTTCAGAAATCAATCAACAAAGAAAATGAAAAATGTATCAATGACGATGATGAAGCGTCGTATGATTAGTACTTTCATGAGAACCAATCGTTAAAACTCCTGGCCTCCTCCCGATGGGTTCCCTCCTAAATTTTCTTTGTCTCATGGAGGGGTGAAAAAGTCTACGTCAGATCATTTCCTTTGTCCGTCGTACAGCCAAGTAAAGATGGATTCTTTCACAGGCCCTGGGAAATGTTTCAATGTTCAATCCTCAATCCTCAATCCTCAATCCTCAATACTCCCCTCTAACGAGTATTTTCTTCGGTCGCTTCTCCTTCATTTAATCGAGGAAGAGTACACCCCACCCCTGGACAAATCATACGGTACATCTTTCGTCTTATTCTACAGAGTAATAGATCAACAAATCATACCAAGAAATTCGATACGATACACCATTTTAACAAACCCAAGGCATGAAACCATTCCTAAAATGCCATGTCTTCTTGTTGATCAAACTAAGCGCCAAGCTTGCACGGATGTTTCGGCTGTTGGCTGATCGTTGATGTAATTTTAAGGGGATCAATTTGCGGCCCGAGTTCACTACGACTCTCTTGCTTTTTGCCTCCCCTATCCTTATCCTATCCCTTATCCTTCATGGGTCAAGCAGCACGGTTCAAGTCGGGTACTACATCGCTTGGTGGTGGCGTTAATGTTAGAGATTAGATAGAAGGAGGGGTTGGTTCTATTTGAGGATTTGAGGTTTTGAGGTGATTGAAGATGTGAAGAGGTGAAGATGTGAAGAGCCTTTTGAGACTACCTTGCCTACCAATCCTTAATCTGATTGGACACGGGGTCTAATGTAGAATTTTGGCAAGTCTTGATAACTGACATGTGCTCGAATAGAAAGAACCACAACTAATTTCATCCTCCTCAACCTAATTTATCTAATATTATTAAAAGTATCAATTACGAAATTTTCCGATGGGGCGGAGTGGAATCATTCCGTCATCAATGCAAGAGCTGGTGGAGCTTCAATATATCTCCATTCTCCATCCATTTACAAAATGGACAAGGGCCGTTACCTTGAAATTGAATCCTCATCGCGGGAATAACATCATACGGTAAGTTGACAGTCCTGTTACACTCGTCCACTTTTTATCGTACGAGAGGATTCCTTCCTATCACCCACGGAAAAGTATCTACTATCTAATCCATGAATCAGAGTTTACTCGTAAGATCTGAAGGTTACTATCAATTCAATATCAAATTGTCAACCCATGTAATCTTAACTCGTTTGACAACCTGCCCCCCTATATTCCAATATAATCATACCATAACAAAACTACCAAACTACCAAATGCTATCATGTAGGTACACACAGCATATCTTCCTTTCCATTCTCCCAACCCAACCAACTCCATCTCTCCTTACCAGCACACCCAAACACAAACATAACCCGCGTCTTCCCGAACCTACTAAGTTTATCCTGCATGCACATACCTACGTACATACGCACAGCTCCCACACCGAATCCAGCTATCCAACCTCCAACAAAATTTCAGAGGCGAAAGACCAGAATCCTACACGATACATCATATTTCCACCCCTCCACACCTCCACCGCAAGTATCTTTAACCCATCGATTCCAGTTTCCCTTCCACTCAAACGCCAAGAATCATACCGTGTCTACGCAGCGTGGTCTCACATACGGTCACAGATTCCAGGTCGCCTAATCATCATGCACATACGAACCGATGCCTTCATTTGATATCTGGCTAAGGAGTATTATACGGTTATGCATCTTCTATTCATCCTTCCGATATTGTGTTACTATACATATATACGTACTTATATACTTATATTGCATTTGCTGGCTACCTACCGGGCGAAAAACATGCAAAGCACCCTGAATAAATGTATAATTCTAGCTATTATCTACCTATCTGAGCATGTTAACTCCGAAATATCATTCGATGTTGTCGAATGGAGATCCGAGAGTTTCACTACATACTGCAATGGTGACTATCTACAAAATCTGCAGATAGGATGTTTTTGATTATATCTAATTATCAAATGCGGCAACCCTTCGGATTTTCGGGGATGGGAGACGGCGTTGCGGGTTGCTTTGAAATGAGTAGGTTACACTGATGATGAAATTTTCTAAGGAGGGCATTTGTTCGCTGAATGCATGCTTGACATTGGTTGTACAGGATGTATTGTGATAGATTCTGTTTTGTCGGATATCTTTATTCGGATGGGGAGGTTCGGTTTTCTATTTTGGTTTATATCGATTTTGATGTTTATTATTATCCAGTCATTTCCATCCGTCCAGTGACAGACCAATATCCAATATTCAACCCCCCCAACCAATAATATCTTTAAAATCATGAAAAACGTGCCGACCTAGTATCAAAATCCTCCCAGGAGTTTTATAAATGAGGGGTGCGGGGCAAAGTGCAAGTGCAAGTGCAAGTGCAAGTGCTACAAGTTCATCACATCGTTATGTCTTGGAGTGAGAACATGCTCAGATAGACCAGGGTTGTTCCTACAGTCTTGTGATTCTTCTCCACATTTTTAACATTTTATTTTGTGTTGAAGATTGTACATGATGCGATGTGATATGATGGAAGTATTGCATTTAGACATCTGATTGGCGTCACGGCATTTATATTCCCAACCTTATCTTTTCGAATAACCCTTTATCTTTCAGGGAGGGGGTGCAGAAGTTGTGCATGAAACTACAAAGGTCAAAACACTCCGGTGATGATAAGGTTACTAGTAGGGGAATGTATCTCCTGACTCGCAGGATTGTGTGGTGCAGAACCTGGGGTAATTATATTGTGGTGAGACATAATGGATAGGAGGTTAAGGAATAGCAGGTAGGTATCTCCTCCACACTAGTTTTTTTATAGTTGAAGATTTCGGAGTTGAAGAATGGAATGGGAATGGAATGGGGGTGGAATCATGTGATCATTTTAGAGGTATTTGACATCAAAATCTTCAATATCAAGTCCTGCTAGTTCTTAAGAGTTGATAGAGGAATTCATCCATGTACTCTTTATATTCACATGTGCACACACAAGTATCTCGGTAAAGATATAAAAACTGTCATAATATTTTCACCAATTCCTCCTCATCTCAATCCGATCAATCACTCAAACCAACCTCCCCTCTCACAACTCCTGTCCATCATTTCCCATCCCAATTTAGCCTTACCATTAACCCTCCTTTTTATTTCCCTCAACAAGAACCTTCACATGACATACATCCTCTGGTTTTCAAATGCCCATTCGAATCCAACGGTTCATTCATCCATCCACCAGCCATTAATTGCCAAGTTTCCTCACGCAGCCACACACGCCACAGTCACACCTTTCCCATTTACATTTTGCCTTTTACATTTTCCATTTTACCTAAAAATCCGCGCTTATCCTATATTCCTATTCCCTATTCCCTATTCCATTCGCTTCACATGCCAAAATACCAAGAAGGAAAAAATCCCATCCGCCATCCAAGACAATGTCTCATATCCCGATAAGATAAATAGACATGCTGGTGCATACATACATACATAACCAACCAATGGAAACAAGCGAAAGCAAGCCAAGCAAGCCAAAGTCCATTCATTCTAGCTTTCTTAAGAACTACATGCAGAAATTAAGAGGATGTGGTTATTTGGATCATGGATTTGCGAAATGTGATATATCTGGTTTGGTTTGTATGTATTTTAGTGTTAATGTTATCATGTGATTATTATTATTATTATTATTATTATTATTATTATTATTATTATTATTACTATTCTTTGAAATAGATTGGATTGGGTAGTAGACTGATGGGAAATATCCTCATTCTTCCCTTTTACATTGACGCAGTAGCTGTAGTTCTGCGAATCGTGTTATAGATATTTATTCGTGACTGACTGTTAGTTATCTTTGTTCAATTCCTATGCTTTGCTTCGCTAGGTAGTACCTGCTGGTTTGAAATGTGGCTCATATTTATCTGAAACATCCATATTCTCCCTGTCGTGCGAATCAATCTAGAATCTTACTCTTTGAGTATTGCGCATATTCGTGACAAAGATTAAGTTTCACTTTTTCCTTCCAACTTCTGGCTTGGTTTTGCTGAAAATATATATATGGTCTTTTGAAACCTATTGAATGGATCTATAAGTATGTCTCTGAGATCAAGTTTCAAATATCTTTTTCTTGGTTTTACATACGAGATTCTGTTTGTTTGTTTGTGTTTAAATACCGGTATGAGATTATGAGGCATGAGGATGCTTAGTAGCTATCTATGTGTTGGTTTGGATTGTATTCTACATCGAGTATATAATTTGCAGTTAGGAATAAGCATTCTTGTCTTAAGATAAACAAAACCTCGGATATACATATCCAATCCAGGTAGATAACAGTAGTTAGTTGAATTTCTTCCAAGCGGAATACATCCACATCCTTGATATCCATTACTGGGTTTGAGATTTCGGCGGTATGTATATATATTTCTGTCCCGCATTATCTAATTCCCAGTATTTATTTCTCCGAGTAGCATCCGAAGAATTCTTACCCGTTGCTGAAGTTTCCATCGCATCGTGGTCAATAATACGTATATCTGAAACACTTCTCTGCATGTTTCTCCACTTACAGATATCTATACATATCGCTTCCCCTCGACCCAAAACAAAATCCAGCCTGTGCGAGTACATATCCATATGTATGACTCCTAGTATCGAAATCGAGAGACATATATATTTACTACATCCAACCGAAGTATCTCGTGTTTATCATTCGTCTTTCATCTCATCTCAACATACCGCACCACACGCATTTCTCGCCATGAACCCAGGTTCGGCTTCCTTGAAAACTCAAGACAATGATGAATTTTATGAATTCATCAAGTTAATTCCTTGGTCTCATGTAGCCAGCCGTGTTCTACTATCCTCGCATATATAGCCACCAAAGCTAAGCTATCACTACATGGTTTTATTGCATACCTATGAAATGAAGTATAGATTCTAGACAGCTTTACAGGTAATTATTGGGTAAATTCAAGGCTTTTCCATTGCGTTTTGAATTTCTTGTTATCATATTGCAACTGAACCTAGCTTGAGGCGAAAGTACATTCATGGTCTGGTATCTAGAAGTCATTTGTACTTGTACTTGTACTTCGGCTTTGAATCTGCTGTCTTCTAATTGATGGGCTATGGTCTTTATGGGGTGTCTGCCGCAGTTTGTTGAGTATGAGTGGGTGATTGTAAGGTGACTCATATTCCGATGAAGTAAACTGGATGCAAGTTTTCAATATTCGGGTATATTTTATTGTTTCATATGGTTTGATGTTTTACTCGGAATTAATACTCCAAATAGTTTGAATGTTCCTTTTAGATTCAATAATCCAGAGTGTTTCTTATTGGACTGCAGTCAAGACTATTGGATACACTGGGTGATCAAAACCACGAAAGTATAATTACAAGCGTAGCGGTTATATTCTGGAGAATGGACTTTCAAATTAATTGAGCGGAGATTCTATCCTGATCATAGCAGCTATGTATCAAACTTGGGCTCTGTAACTTTGGGATTGTAGATGATTTGTGTTGGATAATATATGTATGTATGTGCCTATCGATGACATGAGTGACTTGCAGATAGGGTATCTACTGCAGCTTCAAATATATCTATTGTATGTGATGTTATATATATTAGTATATTGAGAACAACTTTCAGATAAAAATAATTAGCAAATATTCTTGATATCGATGTATCATACATTGGGTCCTTCATCCCATTCATTTCAATCAGATTAGTGCCTCTCTAGATCTCCACTTCTCAAATTTCAATCTCAATCTCAATATCAACCTCACATTGTCATTGCCACTACTATTACCACCGCCACCACCACCACCACCATCATCATTCATACTCAAACT